GCATCGACATTGGTCCATTTGTTCATAAACTACGATGCATTTCAAAGATTTGAAATTTTATTCTTTTTGTTGCATCGGGGGTTAAAAAAGATTGACTTTTAAACAAAATAGAAATGAGAATGTATATTATAAATTTTAATATAACTAATTATCGTTTTGAGTTGATCAATATATATTTAAATCTAAACGTAAGTTTAGTACCTATACGTTTAAAATTCATTGTTACGCAAAGACGGAGATCAGAATCGGGTGATATTGCGAGAAACGACAATGACGTCGATCTGACATCCCTTCCATCTCATACTCTTTCATTATCTTTTAACTTTAGAGGAATGTACATGTGATGTTCTCGACACGCATAGATTTGATGGAATCTTTGAATGAAATACATTTTATTTGAAATGAAAATAAGATATTTTCTATCGAACTAATTGGAATTACACTTAATATATTTTCAATTGTATCTATGATTTTTCCTTGTTACGATAGTGATTTTAATTATTTTTGTAAAAAAACTAGAAATTTGTCAACTGCATCAGTGGTCACGTACATTCGTGCCAGAAGTCGTAATGAAGATTTTCATCATCATGAGTGCTTTTACCTTAATTAAACCCAGTCTCAGTTGTATTTATACTGTTTGATTATTTAAATTAAACATAAAAATATTCATTGGAATATATACAATTGCAATATGACCCCAGTGCATTATCATCAATTTTTATAGATACTTTTTGTTTAATAGTCATTGTTCAAGAGATATTGAAAACAAAAAAAGTTATATTTATTATTTATGTATATCTTTTAGAATACATTTTTTTGATATATAATGATTTGAATTTAGTTTAATTAAGATACATCAAATTATCAAGTATATCTATATAGTAAATGAAAGAGATGAATTTTGTATTTTTAATTCTAAAAAAAATATTATTTATAGGGATACAAAATTTAAAAAAATTTTAAAACATAACATGTCAGAGATTTATCATATTTATAAAAAATTAAAATAAAAATAATATTTTTAATGACAACATTTATTTGATTTTTTAAATTAATTTTTTTTAGATTTATAAAGAAACTGATATATTTTTTTTCACGATTCACTAAATTTTTTTCTTGTAGAATTAATGACTTTTATAAAGATCAATTTTTTATGAATTATAATTTTTCTTAGATGTTTATGATTTCTTTTAGCTATAATTATAGTTTTAAAAATTTAGTTAAATTTTAATGAGCAAGTATAAAACTTTGATTGTAAACTTCAATATTATATTATAATAATATTATAATTTAATTAAAGTTTCTTTACTTTGATTACTTGAACAAAAATTCAGTTTTATAACGAATTAATTTGTCAGAAATAAAAACAAAAAATAAATTGAAATGATTAAAAGTTGTTTGATTAAAAATAAAAGTACGATAAGATAAAAATAGATATTTTCATCTACAAATATCTATCTCTTATTCATATTTCAAATTAAAAAAAAAAACTCTTTGTTCCTAATATTGCAAAAAATATTATCAAGAACAGAAAAAATAGAAATGAGAGGATGTATATCTTGACTTGATTACAAAAAATATGAATTGAAGAAAAAAAAATGATTCTAGGCTTAGTTTGTACCTTGACAACAAACTTCCCATTAATTGAAATCCATAATTTTGCCATTTATTAATGTTTTTGTTTCTGACAAATTTGCTATTGTTATAAACAATATACAATTGTGTAATCACATTAAATTATTTATATCAACTGTATTGATATTTATCGAATATAATCATAGTAATGATCATTCCTAATTGTTTATAACAAATTGAAATGGTTATAAACAATCTATAATTATCTACAATCATATGAAGTTATTAATAACCATATTGTATTGACCTCAGTTATCAACAATGTTAATCATCTGATAAATAGAATCTATTTCAAATGTCTTCTTCATTCAACTTATTCTAAACTCTTCTTGTTATTAAAAAAAAACGGCTCAACCGAATTTGTTTAAACTTTTTTTAAATCTTCTTTATTGTATTATCTTTAAAATAAAATTTGTCCAAAGTCGATATCTTGAGTGATTCTTGAGATATCAAAAACGAAAAAAAATAAGACATATGTACGTATAATTATACGTACGGACATACATCTATTTTTAAATCTTCTAGGTATGTTTTCAAATGTCTCAAAACTTAAAAAGATATAATAAAATTACGAATTTTAAAAATCGACCCCATTACAATAATTTCCTAATGGGAAGTTAAAAATATGTAATGGAAAAAAAACTGGGCCGTGAATAAACTGGGTCTTTTCGATCTATATTAAGTCGGCAGACACGCGCGCTATGCGCGAAACCGTCAAGTGTTGGAAGACGTATTCTATGAATGGAGGCGGGTGTCAGATCAGCCAACAAGCAAGGACGGTTAATTATAGACGATATCTTCTACGTATCCAATGTGTACATGAATTAACCAACTCGAACTTTACTTTTCTGTGTCATATTTCCTTACTAGAATTTTCTTGCTTATATTCTCCTTTTTTTTCTTTTTTCTTTTTTTTTAATACTAAAAATAAAAATATACCTAAAGTATCCTAGTGATATAATAATGCTACTTTAGTTTGTATTATTACATGAGTAAAAATGTTTATCCAAGTTTCTGGGAGAACTTGGGAATTATTTATAGCTGCATCTATTTGTCTGACTCAATGACTTCAACTAAAATAAATTATTCATTCATTAATACTTTCACGACCTGTGTAATGTTTACAATCCATTATCATATATTATAGTGATGTAGTTACTATAGAATTTTCATTGATCATTTTTCTGTTTTATAGATTAGATGGTTTGGTAATTCATACATATACACTTATTACCATTAGAAAATTGGACTTTGATTGCTTGACATCCTTTAATTTAAATGATATTGTTATTAAAAATTATGCAAGGGATTCTATGTAGAAAATTATTTTACTTTTCATGTATTTTATATATACATATCAAATAATAATTTTTCACGTTTCATTTATTGAAAAAAATATTTATCTTTTTCAGTGAATAAATAAATTAGTACTTAAAAGATCAATATTACAATCATAATTAATTTTGGAGTAAAAAAATAACAATTATTTAGTTGAACATAAAAACTTGATAATTATCAAACAAGTAAGTCAAGCGAAAAATTAGTTAAATACTGCAGAATTATCTCTTTTTATCAAGTAAAGTTAATTTTTATGTTTTTCAATGTAATACAACATATAAAGTGAAATACTTATATATTAATTGCCTTATAATATTATTGTCAGAGTAATAATATACAACTTATCAGGGGAAAGTGACCCGTAAGTGATAGTACTTATAAATATTTTTTCTTCACCATTAATGATTCGCTCTAATTGTTGGATAATTTAATTTATTACTAGCGTGAAAATAATAACTTCATTAAAATGTGTCACGGTAGTGTCCTGAACTTGATACTTCATACTATTATGTGAATTCATTTTTCAATAAACAAATAACTTTTAATATTTGTTTATTTAATAACTTGCAAACAAATAACATAAATTACTGTTGAAGTAAAATTTATTGACCATTTGGATTGACTTTGGAAAAAGGAATTAGCTGATTCATCGTTAATTTTATTCTTTATCAAGATAAAGTTAAAGCTATTTTTCAAAAAAATTTATCTATCGACAAGTTATGTTATATAACGTATTAGATATTATTTTTATAGACAGAAAATTCAATCCAAAAAGGTTATAGACTTTTTTTATCACTTCCCCTCTTCTCATTTGACATTGTTAAAAAAAATATATTTCCTGTTCATCCCAAGAGTTCACGACCGATAGTAAAGAGACTAGCAACAATTAAATCATAAACATTGCTACATGTATTTGTATAATCATCTTGATAAAGATATGTATTTTACATAATTCATTGAACGTTTCATTCATGGATTATTTATGAGTTATTTTAATTTTACGTCTTTCAATAAATATTCTCTTTTTATTCTTTGGCACAGGAATTAATTTAAATGATTTTTTAAAGAGCTAACTTCTAGTAGTTAGTATCAGTCAAAGAATTCAAAGTTAATTTTTTTCATTACTCACATAATTGAATTTTTTTTTTCTTTAAGTTGCCAAAATCTAACTATTTCGACTGAAATTTAATATTGAATACTTACGGATTAATTTCAAGAGATTGATTTTAATTAATTTGTATTTTTTTCAAATATTATTCTTATGTAGGTACGAATAGTTAAGTACGCTTTCTGACCTACAATTATTGATATTCAAAATTTCTTGAATGTTGATTTTAAAATTATACGAAAACAAAAGTTCTATACATTTTTTATGCTTTAAAGTTACTACGTATTATTGTTATTATTGTAACTCTATTTAGAACAAGTCAATTTGATAAAAAATCATTGTTACATGAATGACTCAGTTGGCTAACTAATATATTTTGAATAGCAAGACGGATATTTGAATTGTTCATCGTTATATTATCTGTCCTTTTATACAACAAACAACATAGTTATCTACAACAAGGTGAAGTTCTATTTAATTTTGCAAGTATGTGTAACGATTTATGTTACAATTTTTTCAATCAACAATCTTATCTAAATTTATGTATTTCCGCTGTACGTAACTTATCATACCTTACGTTCAGTCAACAAGTAATGTAGGCGTTTGAATAACTTGAAATATTATTTTCTATAGAATAAAAAAATACCCTGTAATGATCCTTTAATTGTTTTTCTTCTCTTAAACTCTACTCAACAAAACAAAATAATTAATGAATTTCAAAATTTTTAAGTGCTTAATACAAATAAAATTTTGTAAGATCATTTTTCAAAAATTATTTAATTATTATGAAGTATAGATATAGAGTATTTTTTTATTTGCTAAAGAACTGTTCGTTTAATTTTTTCAAGTTAATGGTAAATTAAAGTTATCTAAAAGTCGTAGAATAATAACATTTTTTAGATGTTTAGTAATGCATATTACATTTTATTGGATGCATTTTTTACAAGAATATAAAGTCTCAATATGGTTGCAGTGCGTATAAAATTAGTTTTAGTTTTATTTAATTATCAATAGCAAATACAATTGATACAGGAATAAAAATTTATCAATTGTGAAAATATATTAAGCGTATATTGAATGTGTATGATAAATATTAAGAAAATTATGTGTCATAACAATAGTTGAAATATTATCAACAAAATATTTATAATAAATTAAAAAATTGTTTTACACAATTCAAATGCTTGTAAAAAATTTGTTCAAAAACTTTTTATAACTAAATTCCTATACTACAACCGTGCTTTGAGAATAATGATAGGTTGTGTTATTTCAAAAGTACTTCTCCAAATGTGATGTCAATTTACTAGGATCCACATTGGGTCCATGACGTTCCACAACTTTGCCATTTTTGTCGACAATGAATTTAGTGAAATTCCATTTAATGAAGTTTCCAAGAGAACCTTTTTGCTCCTTTTTCAAGTACTTCCAAAGAGGATGTGTATTTTCACCATTGACATCAATTTTTTCGAATAGATCGAATTTAACCTAAAAACAAATTAGAATTAATTTTGTACATACTCTTTTTAAGATAATAGTGTTACAATTTATGCTTTGAAATATTTACTTTTTGACGGTCTGCAAAACTACAAATCTCCTCACTATCACCAGGCTCTTGACCGTTAAATTGATTGCAAGGGAATGCTAAAATCCGTAAACCTACAAAAAATGATTTATTTTATTATTCTCGTTTTAATTTAATGTAACTAAGGAATTATTTACCATGTGATTCAGCATATTTATCATAAAGTTCATTCAGTTCTTTATAATTCGTTGCTGTCAATCCACATTTAGAAGCAACATTGACAATCAAACAAACATGTCCTTTGTAGCTGAAAAATTTATTATTAAAATAGAGTTTATTTATTATTTTAAATTTGTGTATACTGCTTAAAACATTTTTTTTAAATATATAATTTAACATACTTTGACAAAGGTACGTTTTCCCCTTTGATGGATTTAGCTTCAAAGTCGTAGATAGACGTAGCAGATTTGTAGTCTAAATTTCCGCTCATGACTAGTTAACAAGAATAATAAGATATATTAATATTCCAACTAATAATAAAAACCATTTCCTATTTTAATCATAAAATTCAACATTTTTTCATCTTGTTAAACAGGAGTTTATCTTATCTACAGGATTAACAAAAATGATTATTATGAATTAAAATTAGCATGCCTTTCTGATTCATCTATCACACAGTACATTAATATGTATATGGATGGATCATTAATGAGAACTTTCTAATTAAAATAATGATGGTGAAGGGAGAATACGTGCCTGCAAAATTTCTAACAAGTTGATTTAACCCGGCAGGTATGATTGAGTATTTGAACAAACGCATTGTTGACCTGGTCTTTAAAAAAAGTGGTAAATACTCAATTAAATCTTAACCAATTAACTCAATAATACAATAAATTTTTAATAAATGCGAAAATTATTATCTGTGAATTATCTCTATTATTTATAATCACTATCATTATTTGATGGCCACCAATCATTTTATCTCCATTTCGAGAATATTCTTTCACTATCTATGTGTAAAGGTTGAAAACTTGATGACTCATTGAAAATTTTTACAATAACTCAATGTTAAAATTAGCAATAATTTAATGAAGAAAGATTGTCAATTTTTGTTATAAAAATATAAATCATCTTATTTTTTGATTAAACATTATTCTACGCATTGCAAATTTTGAAGCGTTTGTCATGCCATCTATTTACAGTACAGATAACTGTTTTATCCACCATTGTCATTCTCGTATGTACGCAGTAAAGTATTCAGATATTTTATGATTACTTGCAAATAATGTGTACATTTACATGTTTTTAATTATGAATGTAATGTGTGTTGATTATTTGTCAATATATCTGATTAATCTTACCGAAATTTATTTATATTGGACTGTCAGTAAAAAATGAAATACTCCTTCCACGTAACAAATGACCATGTGTATGAAGCAACCGGCAAAGACTGACTATTTTCACTCCGTTGCTATTACCTCAACACCAATACCCCAATGTATATGTAGACCAATAGCAAAATGAGTATACTTGTCATTGCTAACTTGATGAATATTTTATTCCAAATGATCATAAAGCCTTGCTAATAATATGATGACTTAGCATTTTAAGTTAAAAGATTTATATCATAATTGAAATCACTCTAGGTATAAAGGTCTATTAGATTTAGCATTAATTAACAGAATATCCAAACTATAAAAGACACAATAATTTGAAACAATCAAATTTAAACCAACATAATTTTACCTTATATTATTTATATGAATAAATCGATTTTACTTCTTATCCACGTGTAGTTTTCTGGGAAACAATTGATTTTTGTACGCCTTGTATATTGCAATTATTATACCTGTGTGAACTGAATTCTTTGATGATCTCAATAATACAACTGGACTAACTTATGTTAAATATTTTATTAAGTAGTATTGATTCAGCTTAAAAAAGCCTTCGTGTAGAATTAATATTTTAGTTGTTTCCAAATTTATTTATCGAATATTTAAAAAATAATGAAAAATTAATGATCAAGATGAAGAAATGAATTCTACTGTCTCTATTTTTATTCTTATTTTCAATCATGATTGCAGATTTTTCACTCGCATTTACATCATCATTTTTAAATTCAAAAAATCAATACAAAAGAATAATTTTTTTGATAATTAAATGTATTTATTGTATAATAATATTTATATTAATAAATTGTTTTTTTTTTGTTTCAGTACTTTGGTTCCATGGAAAGTTTTCAGACATGAATTGAATCAAGTTCATCAAATAAGTTCTGGACTTCAAGCTATGGCATTAAAATCAACGATAGACCTCACTTGCAATGATTACATTTCAAACTTCGAATTCGATGTATTTACAAGGTTGTAATTACTAACTTTACAATTTCTATCTAAACTTCTGTATCAATTTGTATTTCATTAATTGATATTTTATAGTTGGATCAGGTTATTGATTGATGTCTTTGAAGCTAACATAATTAAGATTATATTAAGTGTTAATATATTTATGCTTTTCAAAGAGCATGATAGTTAGTATGTCTATAAATAAACTGATGTTAATTGGAAACTATATGTTGAATATGAAATTGGATGAACAACTTATTTACTCATATATATATCATTTTTCCAATTTATAGACTGTTTCAACCATGGTCAACATTACTACAAAATTGGAAAATTTTGGCTGTTACACATCCTGGTTATGTTGCTTTTTTGACATATGATGAAGTTAAAGCTCGTCTACAAAAAAATTGTATTACAAAACCTGGAAGCTATGTCTTTCGATTGAGTTGTACGAGATTAGGACAATGGGCTATTGGTTATGTAACTTCAGATGGTGATATTCTTCAAACTATACCCCACAATAAAAGCTTATGCCAAGCATTATTAGATGGTTATCGAGAAGGCTTGTAAGTAGAATTATAAAATATATTTTTTATCAAAATATGATATAAGTAAACGAAACAGATTAATAATCATTATCGTCCTTTTAGCTATTTATATCCAGACGGGCGCAATATAAATCCAGATTTAACGTGGGCTGTTCAACCAACTCCAGAAGAGCACATAAAGGTGACAGCTGAGCAGTATGAATTATATTGCGAAATGGGTAGTACATTCCAATTGTGTAAAATATGTGCTGAACATGACAAAGATGTGAGAATAGAGCCTTGTGGACATCTTCTCTGTACGCCTTGTCTAACAGCTTGGCAGGTAGCAGTATTTACTCATATTATATATTATTAATAAACATTATACTTTAATTCAGCTTCAAAACAATTAGATCAAAAATTTCTATTTACTTTTTTTATTTTAATACCTGCTAATTTAGTAGCATTGTTTGTGCAATTAATTATTAATATGTAAGATGAAACATGTTAACTATGTGTGCGTGTATTCACATGTTTCATTAAAGTATTTTAAAAATATCTGCAACCATAAATTCACAGCAAATAATATTTACTAAAAGATTTGGGTATATTAATATGAGATCACAACTTATTTCAAGTTGATCCAATATTGTTTTTTTTTAAAACAGTTTTCGTTGTAAGTTAAGTAATTATTACAAAAATTTAGAAAGTTATGTGCTAAAAGTAAACATAAAACAGTTTACATAATTGACCCGAAATTATAAGAAATATATATTATGACTTTTTTTCTGTTTTTTAATAATCATTCTCAACTATACTTTCACATACAATGCACTAATGATTTTAAATATAGGGCATTAATGAATAGCATTAAAATTTAGGCCAACGATTTTGCATCCACTTTACAAATTCAGGTTGCTTCAAGTGTCATTCAAGTTTTTATTACGTCAATTATTCTATATTATCGCATTTCTCTATATACATTATGGAAGAATAATTTTTTTCTTTTCTCAAGTATTTCATGAAATACTTTTGAATTCCTGAATAATATAGTTGAAAAATTTTCATCATCTAAATTCTCTACTCAACGTTTAAATTGAAAATTATTTTTTGATTAATTAAATAAACTTATTTTTATATACATCTATTTATACAAATACTGTTATTTAAATAATCATCTTTTTAAAATTCAATTTCAATAGATTATTTATTATTACTTGAACTTTGATGAAAATAAAATAATTTTATAACAACATTATTATAATTTTATAGGATTCTGAAGGTCAAGGATGTCCTTTTTGTCGTGCAGAGATAAAAGGAACTGAACAGATAGTTGTAGATCCCTTTGATCCACGACGAACACACAGACCTGGAGCTCAATCAGCGTCAGCCAGTAATGCATCTACTCCTACGCGGGATCTTGATCCTGACACCGAGGTATCCGACTAGGTGTATCATGCGCTCTATTATAAAAAAAAGGATATAAAACATGTCCCTGTATAGTAACGTCATAGATTATGCCTCATAAAAATCTGCCTCATTGCATTTCATCGCAATAATATTGGTTTTGCTCCTAATCATTACATGCACCATTTCACTTCATTAAAGTTTCACGAAAAATAATATAAATCGTACCGAGATCAAATGAGTAATGCTATTTATTTTTGCAATTAATTTTTTTATATAACTAATGATAATACATATCGCGAATAACATTGGATTATTCACACCATAGTGGATTAAGGTAGGTTAATCTCTCATGCATTTCGACTTAAACCATTATCGGCTTACTTTTCACACTTCTTATCATAATTTCTGTTTTATGAAAAAAAAAGATTTTTTTTGTGTCGCATGAAGTTTTGAGACCGTCTTGAATGCACTTTTAGTGTGCTTGGATGGTCATTTCGTGTCTAGTAATATATTAATTTCTCTAATATTTTCGGTACAAAAGCTAACACAATTATTTTCAATATTTATAAGTAATTTAAAATTCATTAATTTACATTAAAGTATATCTATTTATTTTAGTTAACTAATATTTGGCCGAGTCTTATTTTTAATAACAAACACTGTGATTTTTTAAAATACTCGGTTTGTTTATTGGTGAAACATAATTAATTTGAAATGCTTGATATCTTATTTTGGTCGCATTCTAATCACACTTTTTAATTTAACATTGGTGAATAAGAAAAACAGAAGAGAGGACATACTGAGGCAGAAAACATGCAAATAAAATAATGTGTCGAAATAGATACATAAATAAATTATTTACATGTATTCACAGTATACATAATAATTTATGAATTCATTACATAAGTATTATTAAAATGTAGGTTGAGATACAATTTCGGAGTTCAACTCCTTGAGATTTTTAATATTATGTTATTGTGCCAGTAAAAGTTATAGTTGATTATGTGCACAAATAACCTTCATGATTAGTCGCTAATAAAAAATAAAAAACCAAATTATTATTGGTTTTAATGTGATCTCGTATAAGAAGTTGATAAAAATAATATCAAACAAAATTAGATACATTTTTTTGGTTGATATTCATTTTAACATTTTCTATATCCAAAATTTTTTATTATGATTTTATTTAAATTTTATAATAATGATTATTTTTAATTTTATTATTAAAATTGTTAATATTCTGCGAAACATTACAATAATAAACAATAAATGGACTATTCTCAATTTATCACAGCGATGAATCTGTAACTAATTGCAATGTTTTCAATGCAAATAATTAAGATCATGTGGCATTGAATGCCAATATTTATACATACAAACTAAAACTCAAATTAAAATCGATTTTAATTTTTCACTTGAAGGATAAGAAAAATATTATTTACTACGCTTTAGAGTAGATATAAATTATTAAATCAATATCAAATTTTGTTATATTTTATAGGATAGAATTTTCATTTGCCACTCGTTTGCATTGGCAAGCCTTAGATCAATTTTAAAAATTATAAGTTTAGTGTACATGATTTTTTTCTTATTGTAAAATATTAGAAATTTGAAAATTTCCAAATAAAATTATATTATAATTATACTGAGTTCCTTTTGCACTTACACACGTTCCTATTATTGTACCATTATTATTTATATTATTTTTATTATATTTTATATTTAATTATTATTTTTACTATGATTACTATATTCATGACTTTCATGCGTTTTAGCTTAATCAGATTTTATTTTATGTTAATATATACCACTGTATATTATACATAATGTATATACATATTATTGTTATTTTTATTATTATTATTATTTATCATATATGATGTTATATTTATGAAGTACTACATTTGTATGAAATTATAAGTAATTAGTTCATAAATATCAAGTTTTTTTATAAAACTGGATATCAAATAATGTGTAACTTTGCTCGCATGGAGAAATGTTTTACTTTGATTTTTATTACATTATGTTATCCACTAGGTTGAATGCTCTACCCATTGCATGAAATAAAACTAATTTGTAATTTACGTACGTGAATTGAGACATTGAACTATTTTAACAAAAAGAAAGAGGTAAGTGATTATACTGGCATTATGGTATTTTTGCTTCAAGCTTCATTGTCTCTTTTCATAACCCACATCATTTGAATGTAAATTTATTATTTTTAATGATTTTTTTGAACATTTAGAATTTATTATTCATTTGCTTTATTGTCGTATCATAAATTTACTCGCATATTATTTTCATAAAATTCATTTTTTTATATATAAATATAAACCCATTGCATGAAATTACAAAATAACAATGACAATATAATAGAACTTGCTTGATAGCTCATCAATAAACTTAATACATTTGTTGTTTGTTTTAGGATATTATGGAATTATCCAATGGTAACTGTGGATTAATTTGTGATGACTCTGATGAAGAAGAAGATTCGAGTCCCATGAATTCACCAGTTCCATCGCGACGAATTGTTCCAAGTCCTCCTTTACCTCCAAGACGACCATCACCATCGCCAACTCCAAATAATATTTCTCGAAATAATCGTCATTTAGCTGTACCTAAAGAAAATGCTCCTCCTCCGCCGCCTGTCACAGTTATATTATCTTCCAATGAAAATCAACAAAATAACAAAGGTATATTTTATACAATTACCCAAAAACCGAACTATATTTAATGTTGTTCAAGAGTAAAACGAATCATTTACGTTCTATAGCTGCAACGGAAGCAAGATATGATATGCTTCACAGAGCATCATCTCCTTCACCAGTTCCTCCAGCAGTAATACGACCACATGTTCGATCACACACAAAACCACCAGCATTACCTGAAAAAGCTAATCGTCATTTGCCTTCACAGCCAACCAATGTGCCTCCAGTACTACCACCGTTATCCGCACCACGACCTCCAAAAACAACTAAAGATCTATCGAAACAGGATCATCATTATGAAAATACCATTTTAATACATGGATCTAAAGAGCATGTAGTAAAAAATATTAATTTAGAAATGAATAGAGCAAAATTTACGGCGCTAATGAAAAATAAAGATGAACCTGGTGGTTCAGCAACTAAATCAGAAGCGGCTGCTTACGAAAATGTTAATGTTGAACATATCTCGAGACTTACTGCTTTAGGCTTTGCTCAAGATGCTGTTATTAGAGCTCTGGGAATTACAAGAAATGATTTAGAAATGGCCTGCGATATTCTCAACGAATTTGCCACTAAATCTTTTTGACCAGGTAATCATGATTTTTTTATTTTAAATTTTTAAAGCATCTTTTGATAAGATACAAATATATTGAATCATCAATTCAAGTAAATGCCAAATGTCTTTGTTGGTTTCATAATCATTAAATTGAATTTCATTTTCAAGTTTTTATGTTTTTTTGTTGCCTACATAAACTTTTACAATGAATATAAATGAGAGTTAATTTCGTAACTATATTCTAGTTTATTTCATTAATTTACAGATACAAACTCTGATGATTTATGACCACCAGTTCCACCTCGGCGGTGTTCATAGTTAAGAATTATCATTTGGAAAAATGAAGAACAACTGTAATTATCACTAGTATCTATAACTGTTATAAATCTACAATAAGTCAAATTTTGCTATGAAACATAACTATAAATTCTTGAATTTTTTTTTTTTGATAGATGAATGAATCAATTTATTTGTGCAATAACTCAATCAAAAGTATCAGAATCAGTGAGATGAAAATAATTTTAAAGTAATCGAATTTTAAAATAATAATTAGAGATCGTTAAATTCTAGATGATAACTTACAATAATGATGCAGCCATTCGAACAAAATAAATCCAACATGTGTATAATATTAGTTTTAGATAATGCATTGAAAGTTTAACGTTGAAAAAAGCAACGTAGTATATCAGCTTTATTTAAAGATACCTCTTAATTGTTTTGTATAGCAACAATGATATTGTCAGCAAGTAATATTAATTTTAATGATGGAAGACATTGCATGATGTTTGTTTATTTATTTATTATTAGGGTATGTGTCAAATGTGATATTTATATTTAAAAAAAGGATGAACGATTTTAAGTAGTTTATCAGTAATTTTATCATGCGCCATATATATAATTTTTCAGAAATTAAACAAAGATCGATTAACGATAATAAACGTTTACTTATATTAACAATTCATATAAACAGAATAACATATTTAAAAAATTTCATTGGAATGACAATAGCGGTATTATTCATGAATGGTATTTAAATGTACAAGATAATATTAATTTAAAATAAAATTTATTATAGGACTGATGGAAGTTAAGTGAATACAATCTATTTGTAAATATTATAAAAAGAGCTAATTTATTGAAATTTTTTTTATTACGTAATAATTACAAGTGATACGTATTTATCTCAAAATAATGTTGCATAAAAAAAAAATATAGTAAGATATTGTTTTAACTATTAAATTACCTATACAAATTCCGAGTTCTATATTTTACATGAAAGACTGACAACAGTCATTAAAAATTTTTGAAAAAATATATTTAGGGTGAACTATTCACATTCTATCTTTTGATTATTAATTTATATTTTGAATTATTTACCAAAATTAAATATGAACAATTTGTTTTGTTACTGCAAATATTAGTGACACTTATAATATTTGTTTGCAATGAAAGCTAAATCTTGCCTAATCAATGGAAGAATTTATTGAAACATTGATTTATCTCTTTAATTTTTCACTTGTTTAATAAGTTTATTTTTTTATTTTAAGTATATTTAATTACTTAATGATGATTTATTTAATATATGTATAATAGTAAACTACGTTAATACTAGATGGTTCACCCTCTCTCGAAAATAATCATAATCAAACATAAGTAATTTTTTTGCTGTTATCACCTAAGAATCGTTTTACAGTTTCTATAGTTAAATTTCTGTGATTGATAACAAGCGAATAAAAATTTAAAACAATAAAATTAAAAACAATCTTCAGTTGTACAGAATAAAAATCAATTCAAATTAAATTTCTTTTCTGCACTGTAGAATTCTGAATATTTCGATATTCATTCTATAAACAATTAATAGCTTAGCTATCCTATTTTTCTACATTTAATATTTACATCAGTACTCATGTAATTCAATACTGTGAATTATAAAAAAGTAAATTAGTTCCAAGTACAAATATGAAATCCGCATAACTATTTAAAACGTTTCAATATAGCGGATATTCATGGAAAATTTAGTCATTTCCCTATATTGTGCAATACATAGTATAATATTTATGTATTGTAAGAAATAAAATATTAACTAAGTTTATATTAAAAACTCCATCAAACTTGACCAAAATTTATCTACGTATATTAATTCTCTTGAAAAATAAATTAATATGTACAATAAAATTTGTCTTTTTCCATTTATTCTAAAGATTAAAATTCTGGACCTAAAATTGAAACTCGCAATTTTATTTTGAAATGTTAGAGTTTGTTACCATTATTTCTAGGATATGTGTATGTATGTGTGTTTAGTACAGCACATCAAATAGTTTTTGACTTAGACAGCTTAGATGTTTTTTTACTCTTGCAAAAAACTTGAAAAAGAAAAATGATTTATGACGAAATATTCTAAAGTTGTTGATGTAGATCGTGCTGAAATAAACCAATTTGAACTTTTCAAATCCTATTGAATCCAATAGAATTTAGATTCTATCAGATTGAACAGGTTCAATTGTAAGGTCACAACGCTTTTTATCAAATTTTAGTTGAAATAAACAAGCTTCAATGTAAAATGACTTTTATCAGACTCTATTCAAAAAATTCAATTAAATTTTCATTGAAATTCGGTCAATTCTGAAAGTAAATAAAATTTACAAAAAAAATCTATTGCTTCAATCAAGATCAATCGAAAATTTTCAACGAGTATTTAACTATACATAACTGTTATTTATTATATTAAAATATTTCAATTTTAATATTCAATCATTAGTAATATTCTAATTATTGCTCCAATTATATAATAACTAATAATATTGAAATAATTGGATCGATCTCAAAATATTCCATAATATGAGTTAATAAACATAGTGGGTGCAGTATATATTTTATACTTCTTTAGCAAATATGTAACATCTTTTTCTTTAGTAATGCTGTTTCCAGTTGTAATATTTTTTATTTCAAAAACACCGTATAGTTAAGTTTTAAAAATCTAAATTTGAGATTAAACCTACATAAACAGAATTGATTGGTCCACTTTGATATCTTATCTTAAATACCGATTTTTTGTTAATTTTTCAAGTGTTAGATAGTTTTCTCATTGGTAGTATTAGTACTGTTTTTATAGAATCAAGTAATTGAACTTCTAAAATAGAAATTCTCTTATTAATACCAATTCAGATTTATTTCCAATGAAATTTAATTGTTCCTGTTGAAATAAAGAAATTCAATTGGAAACAGTTGGATTGTACGGGTAATAAATCTAAATTAACAATGTATAAATGTTTTAATTTGTCATATATTCTTTAAATCATACTTGCTGTTGGCTTAATAAAGTCTTTATTGACTATTATAGTCTACAATTAATTTAAAAACAATGTTATAATATTTGTTTTTTAAGCATGAAAAACTTTTATAAAAAATAAAAAAAATCTAGTAAGTTTTTCGATTTATAGATACAGATATTTAATTCGAGTATTTTTTACATTTTGTACATATTATAGTATACAAAATGAATTCTACGTATCAAAAGTTTTTTTTTTTTTTTTAATTATAAAAAACCATTCTACTAATTCCATATATACATTTATGAATCTATATGTACATAATTAATCACAAATTATTAAAATTTTCCAATTTTATGTTGTACATAATTGGTTTCGATTTGTTGAAAATGGAAAAAAAATTTTGTTGTCATTTGTGTTTTCATTTTTTTAAAGTTAATTGTTGATGAAGTTGTTCGTATCGATTTAACTCTTCTTTACTGATAGAAGGCACCAATGTATGTAGTGCTTCAAGAAAATTATTCAAACATACTTTTATCGGACCTTTCGGTTTTTGATTAACATTTTCTAATTTTTTTTGAGGATCAACACTTTTCAATGATTTTTCATAAGTTTCTATTACGTTACGAGCTGCATTAAGCCAGGCATTTGAGCATAATGACTGTAAATCAGCACCAGTTAAATTGGACGGTAACTTATTCACAATATCATCAAGTTTTACATTATCTGCTAAATGAAACTTACGAGTGATTGCTTGCAATACACTCAATTGAGAATCTGGATCAGAATAAACTCCAATATAAAGTAATTTGTCAAATCGTCCTGGTCGTAAAAGGGCAGGATCAATTAAATCTGGTCTATTTGTAGCACCAATTATAAAAGTTTTTGCAGAACTACCAAGGCCATCCATTTCAGCCAATAATTGAGATACTACACGATCCATTACGCCTCCACTGTCACCACTACGGCCACGATTTGGTGCAAGAGCATCCAACTCATCGAAAAATATAATACAAGGTGATGCAGCTCGTGCACGTTCGAATAAATCTCTTACATTTTTTTCACTTTGCCCAACGTACATATTCAATAATTCCGGTCCTTTTACTGCTAGAAAGTTCAGCTTACATTCAGTAGCTACTGCTTTAGCTAAAAGTGTTTTTCCCGTTCCTGGAGGTCCGTAAAATAATATACCACCACTTTGAACTCCAAATCCATGAATTAAAGGGATTTCAATTCGACGAATAATTTCGTGTTTTAAATTTGCAAGTCCACCGATATCTTTCCAATACACTTCTGGGCATTTTGGAGCTCCGATTTGACTGGAAAAAATGGATCGTAGGTCATCTAAAATGAAAAATAAATAATTTTATTATAAAACTGAAAGGTACTTTAGTGACAATGAATTTTCTTGAAGTTTAAATAAATAATACATTACAATATCGTTCTATTATATATTATTTAATCTATCTTTAAGTATTTTTCACTGAAAAATTTTAATACTTACTGTGTGCCTTTAGAAAATCATCATCATTTATATTTAATTCTCCTTCAGTTAAAATTCGCTTGTGATAATTTGTAATCGCTTGTAATGTTAAATTTTCTATATTATAGAATGTATAACCTGAACACATCGATGCTATTTTTGATAAATCCGCTTGATATTTTATTCCATTTACTTTTAAAAACCAATCAAGTAATTCGATTCGTTCATTTTGAGTTAAATGATCAATCTGAATTTCTTCGATAAAATTCCTTTTGATATCTAAAGGAATATCAGTTCCTTCTAGCGTGGCTATAATTATCAAAGGTAATGTCATCTTTGTTTTATATAAATCATTTAACTGCTCAGAAAAACTGGATGTGATTCTTTCGTCGATTTTTCCTTCTGCATTTTTGCCAAAAATCTAAAAAGAATGATAAGAAAATATCTTTGACTAACTTTTGACTGTTACAAATATATATCTTTTAATACTTACTTGTATATTACTTAATTTAAGTATACATGGAACTGATTGTTCAGCTTGATTAAAAGCTAATCGAAGTTTAGCTTCTGTTTGAGAAGGTGATACGGTCTGAATTTCAGAACAATCAATATTATAGAAATTAAAACCCATATATTTTGCAACACTATTTATGAGTTTATATTTCCCACATCCTGATGGACCTTTTATCAAAAATACTGGTTTAAGCTCTTTCCAATTATCTGTAACATAACTCTACATAAATTAATAAACAAGGATTCAAGATATCAAACATAACGATAGAGCCTTAAGTATCATAAGTTTTGAATTACTCCAAAAAGTTGTCTACACCTTACCTGAAATCACGAATGGAAGTATTGAAGCTTTTAGAATTTCAAATGGTTTGGACGAAAGAAATGGATAATTATTAACGTTATTTCGTTTGATTTCTTCTTCTACAGTTGAAGCACAATCTTGTAATAAAGGAATGGAATATGATGGAGGAAGATATTCAAAAGCTGTAGATTCTTGAATAAGTGTTGACTTATTTTGAGAAACATAACAAGATCTACACGTGCTTTCGTTATTAATTTTAATATTATTTACTTTGAAATATAAATTAGTCAATGAAGGTTGTCCCATAGTATATAAAAATTCTGGTGCGTATCTTTTAATTGAAATGTTAATGAAATCATTTCTTCTTAAATATCGAGGATAAGAAAAATAATTCTTTAATAGAGAGTCTATTAGATCATTTGTACATTCATAAGGGTTCGATAAAAGTGACACTTTTATTTCTTGTGCCCATTCTGAGTGTTTTTGATCGGTAGGAACTGTACAAAAATAGTAAGAATTAACCAATTTTTTATTGACGACATTGATTTTTATAAAACTTACCCAAGAAGTATGATGAATTTTTATTAACATCAAGTAATTTTTCAATATTAAACAATGAAGTTTCAGAAGTATAAATTTCATTTCTCGTAGCATTATTAAATGGTATCACAAATATTTTATATTTTCTTTTTGAATTGGTACTACAAATGTTTATCCACGTTGGTTGAGGATTGTTGCTATCAATTATTCCAAAAGCACATGATATAGTACCTACATAGAATTTTTCGTTGTCATAATATTTATAAATTATATGATCGAAAACGTCGTCAGGTAATGAAAGTACATTTATTTTCATTTGTTTTAATCTTTTTAATTTTATTAATATGTAATATAAAAAAATAAGAGTTATTTTGAAATATAAATTTTTCTTCATGGATGATCGACATGTTTGTTTAACAAACGTTAAATAATCAATGATAAAATTCATAATATTTTCATACAATCATCGAAATTGGTTAAAAATGATTCTTTTTATGTAAAACTACTGCAGAAAATACAAAAAATATAAATAATGATAGAAAGATGATTTTCAGATTTTTTAATACTGCTAAGATTAAACGATAGGTGGCGCAATTCAATAACAAAATAGAGGGCATTGGTGTCAATTTCTATATAAAAAATTAAAAATTTTTCATTTCCATAAATAATATCTTAAATTTCACACAATTAAACAATTAAAATTAATACTCGATTTACATCGAATTTAATTATTTATGATTTTTTATTTACTTATTTAAGAAGCTTCTTAAGATACATTGTTTATGCACTCCTAAGGTCTTGGCAAAGAATTTTTATGTTAAAAATTCAAAAATATGTCAGGTATTTTAAGAGAGATATCGCTTCAAGCGACAATAGAGTATAATCCTGTGCCAATATTTTTCTGCCAATACTTTAAAACAAAATTATGCAAATATTGTTTTAATAAATGTCCTCTTTCATTATCAGAAACATAATTTAAAAAATAAAAACCTAGCACGCCATGACTATGAAAAAATATGAAACCACTGTCCTCTATTAATTAGCTGGGATTCACATCCTTCAAACGAGTGCAGCTGCACATGAAAGAGAAAAGTGGTGAGAAAAAGATAGATAATAAACAGACAGGGGGGAGGCTTTCATTTTCAACGGATTTTTGAACTCCAAACCGTACGTTGACAAGAAGATGTGTCAAACTGTAGTGAAACAATAATGAATTAAATTCAATTTTGTGTGTTGTGATGAAAACATAAATTTAGTTTATATTAGTATTAAACGTAAAATACGTTACAATTTAATATGAATTTCAAACATCATTTGTTTTCAATATTGTGTAAAAGTCATTAAATTATAATATTAAATTGATTTTAACCATTATGATTTTAATCATATTACAATAATTTAAATTTTTAATTTATTCAAGTTAAAATACTAAAGAAATCAGTTATAAAAAAAAACAAAATGAGTATCTTATTTATTTTATTATTCTATTTCAAACTTACGTTTGTATGTACTTTGGAAGGCGACATGATTTTAAAGAAGTTAGGAGAAAGAGAATACCTTCGATTAAAAGGTGTTTTTTGTGTGACATTATATTTTATCTAATATTATTAGAGCTTATCAAATTTAAAATTTGGTTTTGTTTTTTTTTTTTTAGAAAAATCAAGTTTACCAACTCATGGACCATGTTGGCATAACGCACTCAAATCATTAAAACAAAAGTGTGATAAATTAAATGACCAAGAGCATTCCTTGCTTGCTTTAAAACTAGCTAATTGTTTTTTAGAAGATTCAGGGCACATGACTTACGATTGTTATCTCAGTGAAACGGAGCAAATGAGGAAGTACGTAACGAGAAGAATTTGTATCTATAATATAAAAATTTAATTTATTTTTAGTACCTTTTCATTATTATTATTATGATTATTTATATTTTGCAGAAAATGCATCAATAGTATGTCAGATCGTGCTTTTGGAGTTTATAATGAATTTTATACCCATACAACGAATATTTGTTTTTATTTAAATCACGAATTATGGCAGGTTGAAACTCAAAAAACATTTGAAAGGTAGCTTTTTTAAATTATAGGATTTATTCAAAAAATAATTATTTTTCGTATTTTTATCTGTAAAATTTTGTTTTATGTTATGATTCGGTTATTAATCAAATTCTATTATCTAGACTGTATGACGCTTCATCAAAAATGATACAACAATTACTCGAAGCTTCTGAACTACAAGGATCAATGATAGAAAATCAAAAAGAAGGTTTACGAATGCAGAGTGAACTATTAATACACGGTAATAAACTTGATAATGTTATAAGGACTTCTGCAGAATCAGTTAATACAATGATTCTTGATTTCAAGTAAGTACTCAATTTAGTAATAAATTTTAGTTGCAGTGATTATTCATAAACAATACCTTATTTAATAAATAAAATAATTAATCTAGGGAGAATTCTGAAAGCCAACAAGTTCTACTCAATGACATATTCTCTTATATGCGCACATTTCAAGATTGGGTTATTGGAGAAGTTTCCTGGTTTCAATCAATTATATTTTATATCGTAGCATGTATTACCTGTACATTATTTACTTCATCAAAACGTACATCAGAATGTCGACTCACTCTTTTTGTGATTCTTAGTTTGAATGTTGTTATAGAGAGAATGTTAGTTCAATATAATTTGAACACTATCACACCAGATGATCAGGTAATTTTAAAGAAGTTACCAAATATGATTTAAATAGTTATGAAGTAAAATTGTTGACCAATTTTTTATCATTTTGATTTTTTTAAATACTAGTAATTAATGAAATATTGAAAACTTTTGTAGATACAAGTAACTTATTATACTTGGTGTTTAAGAAAAGGAGGATTGTTATTATGTGTGAGTATACTCCTTTACTCATATTACTCTTATCAGGATGAAAATTTAGAATACAATAAAGTTTTGAGAAGAATTGAAAAAAAGTTAATTACTCTACAAGAAACAAGCCAACCATTCCGTAAGTTAACAGAATATCTTATAATTATTACAAATATTTTAAGTTTTTGTACTATATTAATAGTTAAATATATCTCATGCAGGATATCGAACCAGACTTGCTGTTAAAAGACTAAATAATACTTCAGTAGGACCAAAAAATCTGAAGTACTTAGAGACGAATAAATAGATTTAATAAATTGTATTTATTTTTTATAATAAAGCATAAGTAATTTAATGTAAATTTATCTACAGTATTCTTACAGTATTTAATAAAATAATAAATCCATAATTACTGTTTTTCACTGTTGAGGATATCGAGATAATAATTGGTTTAATTGGTTAAATTTAAGATGCTTAGATCCAGGGATTAACTTGCCTGATTTAATTTCTTCCTTTGTTTTAGCTTTATTAGCTAAATGCAGCTTAAAACAGTCTTGATAATCTTTAATTTCTTTCAGACATTCTTTATTTTCGAAATTATTTGCTGATAAACATGTAATAGCGACGACAATTTCTTGAAAACAACCCTTCTCTATAAAATAAAGTATGCAAATTTGATCAATTTTTTATTACTAAAATTGTAAATTAAAAATAATGATAAATAAATTAAAATTACAGATTTACCTTGAGTAGCTGAGCCTTTAGATGCGACACGATTTTTTAATTTTAAAGGCATATCATCAGGGAGTATTGGTACTGTTTCTTCAGGTTGAAAAGAACGCTTTATCCTGCCAACAGGATATCTTATTGGACCCCATATAGGTTTTCGCATGATCTAAAACATTTACAATTTAATTGTGATGTTTACTATAAATAGAGGTTATAATATAAAGCTAAAGTTTTCATATTTAAATCACTTAAGTAAATAATAATTTCTGTCAATAATAAAAATAGTTCACAATAAGTAAGTTTGGTTTTTAAAACCACAAACGGATAATAAAATTATTATTCATTTACTTTGCAAAAAATTTTGTATATTTCTGTATTTCAAGAGAAATATTTTTTCTACCGGCAAATTACAACGATTCACGCCAGATGGAACTTTCAAGCATTTTAACAGACGAAAAAGTATATTTATTGTTGGATAAAAAACATAATTTAATCCTTCAGTATTATTTTATTTATTGGCAATGCAAATTTTTTTGACTTAACCGTTTAACTAATTCCAATATTTTAAGAAATTTTCATTATTTAGAGCTAACATAATAAAATCTCCATTCTGATACATTCGTGATAATTTTTTAACACCTGTCGTAATAGTAAATCACTTTTGATGACGACGCATAGTTCATAGATAAAAGTACAATAATTTTCAATAGTAATTAATAAGAGTGACTAGTTAAATTGAGTATTATTGATAAATAAGTGGAAGCAGTAAGTTAAATACAAATTAACAACTAATTACTGATATGAAAAAAGTAAAAGATTTCTTTTTAGAATTTTTAATTATTGTTTCATTACAGGTTACATGATACTTTATACGAAGAGATTTTTTATAAATTAAAGTTTACATCAAAAATTGTAAATTTGAAGAAAAGATCTCGATATATTCGAATAATATAAATTTTTTATTAATAAATTACATCAATAAGTGATAATGGGACCAACGGAGAGAAGTGAGTTCAATCAATTTTATTTATAAAATTATTTAATAAATCGTAATACATAAAATGTAAATATTGTATACATGTAATCACATACATATATACAACTTGATATTTCGTTTTTACTCATTTTGTTTTCTAATGATGCAAAAAATGTAATGTTGTTATTATACTAATATGAAAATTATCGGTACATTAGATATTTTTAAAATTTATTGTATGACAAGGATTAAAATTAATTGATATCTATCAGTTATCGTATCTTTATTTCGTTATGTCATTGGAAATCACGCCACGTTACTAATACATTGAGTTTAAGAGTATCGAATGATTCACACACGTGTATGTGGTATACAATCGCACGTGAATACTCCAAATAAGAGAGGGAATACTTACTCTCACTTACGATTCATGAACTTCCGTTTGAAGGTCAATGCGAAACATTATCATTTTCTTTGTATTATTATTATCTCTTAATTCTCGATAAAATTACATGCGTTTATGAATAGATAAAATTTACTAATAAATCGAATAATTGAACCACAACATTAGATTATAAAATCCATAATATTTATTTTTTCATAAATTCAATTATATTCATAATATTAAAAAAAATCATTAATTCAATTCTATAATTTCATTACAATCAACTGAAAATCAACCTTATGCAATTTTTATATATAAAATTAAAGATATTGAATTGTAACATCGATAACTAATATAACAATTTTAGTATTAATATTACTTATTGTTAGTTAATTATGTTAAAAACATTAGAAGAATGAAAAATCTTGGCCTAGGCTAAGGTTTGTCTTATTTAAAAGTAATAAATAAGATTTTATCATAGTCAATAGATTATTCTAATAATACAATGTTCACAGTAATTCATCTTTTTTCATGACATTTCAAGATTTATCTAATAGAATATCCCCCACCTTGAATTATTTCACCTTGACATAGAGTAAAATTACAATGTACTCATAAAGTAAGATGTGATTGGTTTATAAAAGATTCTCAGGTAGTGTAATATCTTATAAATGGAAGTACATTTGCATCTAAACCTTTTACTTGAGTTTAATTTTCAGTGTCAAGGATAATTCTTTAATCAAGTTTGTAATTGATTATTTTTGAATTATTTTGTATATTTACATTTTTTGAGTATATCATTTATTCAATTCATCAAATGGTGCAGTCAAAAATGAATCTTTCGTCAAATTTTATTTAAAAATTTTTTTTTTACAATATTACAAATTAATTTTAAAAAATTTGACAATGTCTAACACTTACATTTCTTATATTCAAAAAATATTTACTTTAAATCGAATATAATTAATTGTGATTTTGTAAATTTACAAAAGGATAGTAAGATTATCAGTATTACTCATAGTAACTATCGTATTCCGGTTATACTTACATAATTATTTTATATTGTATTAAATGTTTTAAGTTATATGACAATGTGGATAAGTTATAATAAAATTCAAAAATGTAATATCAAGTTAATGACTTATTTTGAAGGTCCATTATATGAATTTGTAAAATAATTAACTACATCTCATATTTTTTTTCTAACTATACAATTCTCGCGTCATTTACTTTGACCTTGATGTTGAAATTAAATTTTTCTATTGAGTAAAAAAAATTTATATAAAAAGTATCAAATAACATAAAAGTGAATGTACACAATCTAGAATTTTTTTGAAAATGTATTCTCACATTCTTTCTGTTTGGAATAGTTACAAAAAGAAAAGCAAGATTTTTATTCGTTGTTCATGATATAATGACAACGAATGATACTCGTGATACATAGTTGTATTGGAAATGTTAACGAGTAGAAAAAATATGCCTCGAGTGTTCGTGCTTGAGTTTCGCGAAATAGTCAGTTGTCAGCAACGACGATAGTCTTTGAGTTCAAATCAAGTAGATTTAGATAGAGTCACAAACTAAAACAGTTAGTGAAGTCAACTCGATTACACGATAGACAATATTTATTTATTTATTTAATAAATAAACTCATTAATCATGAACCATAACAAAGTTATTAGTAAGTCATTTATTGTTTTTTTTTCATATTTTACATAGTAAATTTCCATTGAAACTATTTCATTTCTCAGTGATAAACAATTTTAAAAATGTTATTTATTGTAATAATAGTTAATTGTTAATTTGTATTCTTGATACAGGAGCTTCGACAGAAGAGAGCCTTATGATTATAAGGCAATCTCTTAAACATGATGAAATGGACCGTTTGGAAGGAACCCATTTTTACGGCCAAATTCCTCATATATTTATTACACTTGGTGCTTCTGTATGTAAACATTTCATTATCAAATAATATAAACATATTTTTTTCTTTTCTTCTCTAACTATTTTTGGTATAAAAAATTCTTAAAAACACTAATAACCTAGATATTATAATAGCAAATATTTGTAAAAATATTTTACAGGGTGATTTAGCTAAGAAAAAAATTTATCCAACGCTTTGGTGGTTATTTAGAGATAATCTTTTACCAAAACCAACAACTTTTTTTGGATATGCAAGAAGTAATTTGACTCTTGAAGACTTAAGAAATCGATGCCATCCATATATGAAATTAAAACCCGGCGAAGAGCAAAAATATGAAGAATTTTGGAAACTTAATCATTATCAAAGCGGACCTTATGACTCAGAGAAAAGTTTTATGGATCTTAACAATGAATTAATGAAGTATGAAAATGGAGCAGATGCTAATAGATTATTTTACCTTGCACTACCTCCGTCAGTGTTCGAAGAAGTTACCGTCCACATCAGGAATACTTGTATGGGAAAAAAGTACGTAATTAATTTTTAATGGATTTGTCAATTTGCTGTAATTTGAATATACTTAAAGTTATTAAAAGAATTTGCATATATTTCTGTATATTGATAGATCTTTTGGGTTCTAATATGTTATTCGAGATATCCTTAGTAGCTAATGGCAGACTTACGTATGTCGACCTAAGTTTGTCATTTACGTATGGATCTGCCGTTTTTCTAAAGTAGATAGATGTAAGATTTTCGTCAGGAAATTTAACGTCAGACAGTGAATAGCAATCTGATGGAGAACGGAAACAGACGTACGTAAGTCTGACGAAAATTCTGACGTCAGTGCTGGCTACTAGGGATGTGTTACCATAAAATTAATAATTGATTGATGTTGTTTATTATTTACAGAGGCTGGTCCAGAATAATTATTGAAAAGCCATTTGGTCGTGATTCGTCGACATCGCAACGATTATCAGATCATTTGGCTTCATTATTTAAAGAAGAGCAGTTATATCGAATAGATCATTATTTAGGTAAAGAAATGGTTCAAAATTTGATGACATTAAGATTTGGAAATAGAGTATTTAATCCTACATGGAATCGAGACAATATTGCATCTATACAGATTACATTTAAAGAACCTTTTGGTACACAAGGACGTGGAGGATATTTTGATGAATTTGGAATTATACGTGATGTTATGCAAAATCATTTATTACAAATCTTATCATTAGTTGCTATGGAGAAACCAGCGTCTTGCTGTCCTAATGACATACGGTATTTAGTATTTTAAATTATAAATTAGTAATAAAAAGATTGTTATTAATATTTATTTTCTGAAAAAAACAGAAACGAGAAGGTGAAAGTTTTAAAATGTATTAAACCAGTGGAACTTAAAGATGTAGTGCTTGGACAGTATGTCGGTGATCCAGATTCTGATGATCCAGAAGCTAGGATGGGATATCTGGATGATCCAACAGTTCCACCAAATTCAACCACACCAACATTTGCAGTAGCTGTTTTAAAAATAAATAATGAACGATGGGATGGTGTACCGTTTATTCTCAAATGTGGAAAAGGTAAAATTTACAGAACAATTATTATTTATTATATGTTAAATATATATTATATGTTAATGATTTTGCTGTTATAGCATTAAATGAAAGGAAAGCAGAAGTTAGAGTACAATATTTAGATGTTCCGGGAGACATATTCGATGGAAAGGCGAAAAGGAATGAATTAGTAATTAGAGTTCAACCAGGTGAAGCTTTATACATAAAGATGATGACAAAAACTCCCGGAATTACGTTTGACATGGAGGAAACTGAACTCGATCTTACATATGGAAAAAGATATAAAGTATGTTGTTTTTATTTTACATATTTTTAGACTGTATAATAATTAATTGACTTGTTGATTAAATAGTAATATTTGGTTTCAACTTTCAGAATATAAAACTTCCGGATGCTTACGAACGATTGATATTAGACGTTTTTTGTGGATCTCAAATGCATTTCGTAAGAAGTGATGAACTCTCAGAAGCTTGGCGAATTTTTACCCCATTACTTCATCGTATAGAGAAAGAAAAAATTCCGCCTATACCTTATAAGTACAAATCACGAGGACCAAAAGAAGCTGATGAAATGGCAGGAAAAAATAATTTTGTATATTATGGATCGTATAAATGGTCAGACCATCATTGATTTGACTTTTTAATATACTCTGATATATTAACAAATAATTTTGTTTAAATAATAAGTGCCTTAAACAATGTTTACTTAAACATTTAAAGATATTATATTTTGTTAAATAATGCAACATTTCATTATAGAATGCTATTAGTTTGATAATTTAATATAATTCCTATTACAATAGTGATTAAACGAGTTTTAATCGATAATAAAAAATTTTGAATTTGCATAAAAAAGTACTTTACGATAGATTATTAAAAATTATGGAAACAACGTTTTTATAGTAAAAATAATTTGAAAATAAGAAAAATAGAATAAGACAGTAAGTCCGTTAATTTTTTTTATTGGTTAAAAAATGTAATCGCAATGCTTGACATAAAATAAATAAAAATAATTTTTATAATTTATAATAATAATCTTGAATAATTATTGTATTATTTTGAAGAAAAAATGAGTTCTCCACTTATAAAAATTAATGTACGAAGACATTTCTTCTTTCATTCGATTGGTCATTAGTTATTACAAATTAATTCAATTTGTCGCATTAATATTTAATCCATTTCATTGACAGATAAAGTACGGCTATTTTTCTTTTTAATAAATTCACTCTCAATATTATGCATTTATTCATTATCAGTATAGTACGTAAAAGAATATCACAAGTTGTTTATAAACGATTACTTGTAATATTCATCAGCAGGCATATGAAAAGAATCATCACTCTTACATTCATAAAAAACTACTTAAAAATATTATAATAAGATTTTTACACGCAATGGTTTATTGCATTAAAAACTTCAAAGTTCTGAGATCGAATGTTTGAACTTATTCAACTTTCAGACTTGAAATTATTAATCATTTAATTACTAACGCTTTTGATCTAGTTCTATCATATAGAATGAAAATTACGTGCTCAGGAATCAAAGGATACTAAATCAATGTTACATTGAGCTACAGAGAATGACTAAAAATCAATTTATATTTCAGTTTTTGTAGTTTCCAATAATTTATCCCAGTCTATACTTGTTTGAAAAACTTCTTGCTGCAACCATAATTCATAGTGTTGTTTAAATTCTTCTGTCAACTCAACGTTGGCACCAAGTACTGATGTAATTGATGTATCAATAGGCTCAAATTGATCATCCTTATTTACATTTAAGTAGCGTCTGTTATTAAATTGATCTACACAGGCTTTCAATGCACATTCTTCAGCTTGAAAATCCCACAATCTGGCTTCAACGTCTAAAACAATTTTTTAAATAAATGTTTATTCAATAAAACTGTAATCAAATTTTAAAAAAAATATAAATACCATTTCCATAAGCCCAGTCGTCATTTAAACGATGTCGAACTTTAGCATAGATTACACTAATTGTTTTCATATTAGTTTTTCGCCATTGCCTACCCAGATATTTGGTTTGCATTTTAAGAAGTTTAAGAACATACAATTGCATCATTGCATGACGAACTTTCAATGCTCGTTTTAAAATAGGAGCTGATTTGAAAACAACTAACATCTAATAAAAATATCTTAAATGAATGAAATTTTCATACAATAATTTACTAAAAATCATTTAAAATAATAACATTTTACCATAATTCTGCTATTCTTCCATTTAGTCAGCTTATTAAGAATGCGTAAAAGATTAATACATGAGAATACATTTCTCCAAGAGTATGTTTGACTGTCACCAACTTCTAGCGATTCTATAGTTAATTCTGGTTGATCTCCTATTACACATATTGGAAAGTCTAAGACTGGAATGCTGAAAAAATGATCAAAAATTCTGATAAGTTCATGTTATTTAAAAGAGATATCAATAAATTTATAAGAAATAACTTACACATTTTTTGCTTCAACATATGCCAGGATATTATGATTGAAAAATTTGATAATTAGAGGTATACAATTAGCAAATACTAAATGTTGAGATATAAATTCAAATTGATAAATATGATTGATTTTTAAATGTTTCAATAAAAGAAGCAGAATAGCTGATACAGCTTTATTAATTATTTCTTTATGACGATTGACGTCAATTCCTAATTTCATTGATTGCAAAACGGTCATTCTAAAAAGTAAATTGTAAATATTTATTCCACTGAAATATCGACGAAAAATGGTTAAATTAAGTTTATAACTTACGGCATTTCTTCTGGTAACACATCAGCCATAATATTAATACTTTCAGTCTTAGTTTTACTGGTAGGTGCTGCAGCCAATAATATTTTTAAAAGTGCAATTGTGTACTGTGGAAGATTAGGTAACATTGCTTGATATAAAATTTCAGTTGGCGTTTGTCGTAAAGGAGTTTCAGAAGTAGTCAATGGATTCCGAGCTATTTCTTCTTCTTTTTGTATTTGTACTTCTGCTAAAGACGTGTACATGTGTCGTTTCAATGTTTGAACTCCTTCATGAATTGGTTGAGGTAATCCAATCAAGCTTTCGCTGTCGTTTTCCAGTGTATATCCAACAAATTTTAATCTTGATGTATCTAAAAATGCTACCACGTCTTTTTGTCTGACCTTTGGAGTCCATGGTAGACCTTTATTTTTTGCCGGTTGTGGTGTACTTGGTCTTGGTGACTGTTGATTGTTAGGATCTTCACCATTGTTTGGTGGATAATTGATTAATCGTGAATCTTCCATAAACACAATCATTTCATTATCTCCTTCATTCTCTGTAGTGTTAGAGTTTCCTTCTGGAGCATCTTCGGTAAATTCATAAAGTTCATCATATGAACTTTGTTTCATTAATCGACGACGAAATTTTGGACGTCGATTGGCTACATAAGGTTGTTCGCCAATTAAATCAGATCCACTTGTTGGAGGAGAACTTGCTCGCATTGTTCGAGTAACTTCGATTGTGTCTTCTTGTAAGGTATCTAAACCTGCTTCTTCACGATATTGTTTTTTCAATCTTCGTAATTCATCAATTCCACCTAATGATACAAGTATTAATTTCCATAGGAGCAAAAGTACTTTTTTCATAGGAAAATGAGGTGCAGAACCACTACAAAAACATGTCACCATTCCAAGAAGTTTCATGATTAAAAAATCATCATTGAAAGGATGAATTAATTCTTCTTTAAAATTTTGGACATTTTTTTTGTAAATACTGTTATTAAAATTTTTTAATTCTTCTCTCATTACTTCAGTAATAATATATAAAACTGATAAAATAATACGAAGATCCACAGAATCTGCTAAACTGACAGCTAATTTTCTCATAGCTGAGCTTGCTGCTGTACTATTTTCAATTTCAATATTTAGTAGTTCAACAAATGTTGAAAAAATACCAGCTTCATAGAGTAACATTACATTTTTTCGAGTCCATTCTTGTTGTTCTCTGTCTGATTGCACTTCACTCCAACAACCTTGGGCTAAATAAAGTATACATCTAGCAGCTTTCATCCTCATATCTTTATTAGATACTTCCAATTGATCTAATAATTTTAATATTACTGATTTTTGTTGAGACACAGATAATTTCTGCCACCATGGTCTCAATTGGAAGCTTTCCATTAAATCTTCAAATGCCTATTCGAAATCATTATGTTATCATTAAAAATCAATCTCATACATTCATTTAGACGGTAATGATTTTACTTACTTGGAGATTAAGTTGTAATTCATACTGCTCCGTGTAGCTGTATAATTCTGCTATTTCATTGACGTGAGTGTCTGTATCATCATAAACAAAATCCAAATCAGAACTTTCTGTTTCATCCTAAACATAAATAGTTCTTGGTTATAAAAAGATTTCGAATAATTTTTGTAACTATTAAACATGTCTTTTTTTTATATAGTCAGATAGTATTGAAAAATTATAATTCATGAATTAACTTACATCGGAATCTCGTTTTTGTCGGTGAAACACCTCCATAAGTTTTGGTTTCGGTCTTCCATTGCCATTTGCATCCATTGTCTCATACACTTCTCGTTTGTCTGCCATTGTCATCATCTCACCATTGGTGTTCATTAGAGGTCGCTGATAGTAGTTCATGTCATCAGCCATCTTTAAAGTTCAACTTTTTAATGAAAATTTTCCATATAGACTAGAAATTTAACTTTATTTATTTCCTCTTATATGTAAATGACAACGCTAAAATTCTACATAACATCAATCTTTTATATATTTTATAAGTTTTTAACATTGAAATATGAGAATAAATTTAATAATTATTTATAGAAAAGTTAAATTTGTAAATTCAATTTTGGAGTTGTAATTCACCATTTTTCTCCGATTTGCATGATCCATTTAATAAATACTTGAGAGTGAAAGCAGGAAAACTTGTCAATAAGAAATGTATCAAATTCAGCAATTAGTTCTTGTTAAAAGCACTTTATTACATGTTATTGAGCGAGGATGAACAATCCCAACAACAGTCCTATTTAAAGTATAATAACTATACATACAAATGTTCATACAACGACATGGTGCTTAAGAGCAACTGTCATTGGTGCTTGGAGAGTCCTCTCATCGAAGACTTGATGTCTGTTCAGTAGCCAATAGCAAGAGAGTAGCTTACGGAGTAAATCCTTCGCAATCCTCATTTATTCCTTAGCAAAAGAGAAAAGTAAAAAAACTAAGGGTGGTAAATTTTCACCGATCAGTTACACTGCCAGTTGCTACAATCATTTGAAATTACTATAGTAAAGTTCTACAGCATTTATAAAATATCTCTGACTTTGTAATTTTAAAATTGTATTTTATATTTTATTAAAAATTGAGTTTGAAAGGATAACCTATCATAATGCAAGGTACTATTATTGAAAACCTGAGCGGTAGAAAGCTCTCGGTACTTGTAACTATTTTAATAATTGCACAAATCGCCTGCTTTCTTGTTGGTGGACTTATTGGTGAGTTTATTTTTAAATATTTTCTGATAAATTTTTAGCTTAGATTTTATTAATTTAAATAAATAAATCTATGAAATTCTAGCTCCGAGACCGGCAAGTAATCAAAATATTCTAGGAACTCATTGCAAAGATGAACGTGTTAATGGTACTGAAGCAGATCCAAATAAATGGTATTGGACTAGAGGGGAAGGATCTTGTGAAAAAGTTGATTTGCACCTATTTACTTATGATACAAAATATCAGAATAATGATATGCATCAGTTTGATTATGATAGTAAATATCAGGCTTATCAAGTAGTTTTCAGTTTTCAAGTAAGTGTGGAATTAATCAGCACTATTCAAAAATATTTGATTATGATAGATAATAATTATTGATCAAAATCTTTAAAAAAGTATGAAAAAAATAAAATTAAAAAGTATAATGTTTATGTAAACAATAGAATTTGAATTTCATTTACTATTTGCTATGGTGAATTGAGATTTTCAGTCTTAAATTGTATTTTCAGATGCCTGTGCCAAAAAATAAAGAAATTCTGGACTATTCACGTTGGCAACAAAACTTAATTGGAGTATTGCAAATTGAAATAGTTCATCACAATGAATTTCAAATAGGTAATGGATGAATTATTGTTTTAATTCAATTAAGAATTTTTGATTTTTACTAAGGAGTTATTAATTTGAAACTCGGAATTCAAATTGGTGTGTTATATTTCTCTGTGTGTATTTATATCTGTTTGTAATTAGATATATTTATTTAAATGACAACGCTAATAACAATTTAATTTTGCTTAAAAATTAATTGTGTGGCTCTTTAAAGTCATATTCACTTTATGACTTGTGTTACTTTTAATAATCATGTATTTTTTAACTTTATAAACAGCACCGAGAACTCCAATAACACTAGACGCACGATTAGCATACAGAAATAAGGGTGATCCTGATCATGCATGGAAACCATATGCTGCCTCGAGAATCAAACGATATTTGGACTGTCCCATTAATTCTGTAAAAATCATATTTAACCATATACATTATTTTATATTTGATAAATTGTATAATAATTTTTTATTTCAATTAGCCGAAAGAAAATTACAACTACAACTGCGGAATCATTCCACTCTTTGAATTAGGATCTTTGTATCATGATTACTATTTGCTAAATATTCGTCTACCAATAGATACTGAAAAAAATATCAATCAAGGTTTGGGACATATAACCGACATATTGTTAACTGTAAGTTATTTTCAAAATATTTTTTTATTTACTGTGCATAAAAAATAATTTTATTTTAATTTTAATAGGTAATAAATCAGAATGGAGGGTTCACTAAAGTTTGGGTTAGTCTGAAAACCATCTTCTTCCCCATTGTTATTTGTTTCCTCATTTGGTACTGGAGAAGAGTGCACTTATTGTCAAGATCCCCTGCTTTATTAGAGTACATGTTGTTAGCCTTAGGACTTGCAGTAACATTCTTAAATAGTAAATATGAAATGTTTTAATTTGATATGTGTATATAAAAAAGCAGAGAATAATTTAAAAAATATTTTTTTTTCAGTGCCATTAGAATATTTAACTCTTTCGTATGATATGCCTTTTATGTTACTCCTGAGTGACATTAGACAAGGAGTTTTCTATGCCGTTCTTTTATCATTTTGGCTCGTTTTTGCTGGTGAACACTTGATGGTAAGAAAATACCATTTATAATTATACTTCAGACTTTATATTTAAATCTTTGTACATAATTTTAACTTTTATTAAAGATTCAAGAGGGTGAACAAAGGAACAGTTTAAAATGTTACTGGCGTCATTTAAGCGCAGTTGTCGTTGGCTGTCTTTCTTTATTTATTTTTGACATGTGTGAACGAGGTGTTCAATTAAGAAATCCATTTTTTTCCATTTGGGTTACTAATATTGGCACCAAATTGGCAGTATCCTTTAGAAAAAAATAATAAATAATACGTTCAATTACTTCAACTACATTTTCCTATTTGGTAATAGTTATCGTTCATTATTTTGGCTGGTATTTCAGCAGGATTGTACTTATTATTTTTGTCATACATGATCTGGAATGTATTTATGAATATTAGCATCAAAAGAGCAGCCTTACCGAGTATGAGTTCAGCACGAAGATTGCACTATGAAGGATTGATTTATCGTTTTAATTTTTTAATGGTAGCAACTTTGTTATGTGCATCACTCACAGTCGTTGGATTTATTCTTGGACAAGTATATAATTTTATAAATTCTATTTTTTATATTTATCTTTATAAGATTAGAAACAAGTATTTAATTTATAACTATGTGATTATTAAATATTTTACAGGTTGCTGAAGGCCAATGGAAATGGGATGATGATCTAGAATTAGAAACAACTTCTGCATTTTTCACAGGAGTGTATGGAATGTGGAATATTTATTGTATTGCATTACTATGTCTTTATGCACCATCACATAAGAAATGGCCCGCTGAACCTTCCGGTAATTATTATAATCTATTATTTAGCCGCTTAATGTTTTATAATGAAGTGTTGTTAAAGTTTTGCTCTTCTAATTGAATTATTTTTCAAATTTAATCACAAACTTTTTGTTTACTGTAATTCTAAAGCTTTCTGTCTTGGTCATTTTATTTAATCATTATAAAATTTCTGTATTATTTATTTACTATAATTGACTAGTGCTTTTCACATGAACTTGGTGCTATATATGGGTATAGTAATTCGTGTATAGACTGGGTATAGTAATATTCGTGTAAATACTCATTAATTCTAGCTTGTTTATGTTTTGTTTACTTCTTCTCACAGTGAATTTCTGTATCAGAAAAATAATATTTGATTGAAGATTGTGTTTCTGTGACTCTTGATTTTATTGGTCTGATTTGTGATTGTTCAATACAATGAACTATTTTAAAAATTATTCAACAAAATGCACAATTTGTCGCTCATCATTGCTTGAAAAACTATCTGATGAGCTATTTGTAAATTTCCCAAGTCTTTGATTCATTTAAAAACCAAAAAGATAGGATAGAGGTAGTGTGAGGGAAGCTGAAGAAGAGCATGGAAAAAAGGGAAATTAATTCTAAGAATATTGTTTTGAATGAGCAGTAAATATACTGCATAATGCCTCAAATTGTTCATTAGGCAGCGTGTGTTTTCGCAACTCCATATCAATGAAGTTTTTGTTGAAAGAGATTGTTGCTGGTGAAGACTGAACTCCTTATAGCGCTTCTTTTATAGTTCTATTTTTTTATTTGCTTACTTCTTATTTATATCTGTGATTCGAATTTGACTTATGCTGATGTTTAAAATAAAAATTATTTATTTAACTTTGAAAATTCATTTAATTTAATATTTTTTGGTTTTTTAGATCAAAGCGTTAGCGAAGAAATTGAATTTGCAAGATTACCGACTGAACCAAACGAAATGTTATCTTTAACAGCGTTTGCCCGTAAGACTGCAACAGAATAAATAATGATTATAAATGAGTCTTCGTAATATTTCATCGTAATACCTAACGAAAAGTATTCATAGAACAGTAAGTTTATGGTAATGCACAAAATAAAATATGACTGATATCTTTTAAAATATAAACAGTATCGGATCTGTCATGATGAATTTTGACATTATCTTTTATGTTAAATATATATTTATATTTCTTTATGGATAACTAAGATTAAAAACAAATAAAAAAAATTTTTTGAATGTACTTGATCATAAAAATGTAGTTAACTTTGAGATTTCAACAGTCGCATCGACTACTGAAAGTAGATACTTAATTTCACATATCAATATTGGGCATTTACATTTGTGTGATCCTGTTTATAATCGCAAATGTGAAGTTATATAACTTAAAAGTATCAATACATTTATTATATTTCAATGAAAAATAAGATGTAGGTAATTTTTATTTTATATGAAAGTAGAGCTCTCATAAATATATTAATTTTTATTCATATAAGCTACTTTTTGAGTTATATTTTTTTAAGGATATAAGCTATGAATCAATCTCTTCCCTAGATCTATTAGAGTTTTAAAATTGTAGATAAATGTATTGATTGCAAGATACCATAGTGAAGGGTTTATTTTACATACAATTTTTAACAGGTGATAACTTTTTTAATTTTTTACATGTATGACTGAATGTAATAACTATTGTATTTATCATGTATTACTTAACTTTTTTACTAAATTTTTCAAATAATATAATATAGAGTTTCCATAAATAAACATTTAATAAAGAATGATCGAAAAATAACATTTTTGAACGATTTCAAACATCTCCTGTAATATTTAAATAATTTTTTGAAAGAATCAATTATGATCTGTGTTTTGAATTTTTTTTGTTTAAAATCTGCCACCTATTTTTTTCTTTGGGTGAGTTTGCATGTATATGCAGACCAAAATTTATACTAATTGACTAATTGAATTACAGATGCAACAAAGAATTTTGAATTGGTTTAATAAAAATAAAAATAAGTAAAAAATCCATTTTTTTTTACAATTCAAAAATAAAATTAATAAAAAAATAAATTTCAGTTTACATGTAACTTTTTGCCTTCAGCGATCGTCACGACATCTAAAACTGTCAAAAACAATTTAAAGATCGTTCCATTGGTTTGATACAAAAGCAGAATACGTATACGTAGGTACTTAAAAATTATATGTATAGTAGAAAGTTATTTTCTCTGCACGAGGTGATGCTACCTCAAATGATTGAAAGATTTTTGCATTCATAATTATATTCAAATATCAATGAAATTTTGCGATAATTAAAGCTTCTTCAGGGATCCAAGGTAACCCTAATTAACAAGGTATTTATTGTAATGATCTAAATATTTAATACAAATGATTCTTTCTAGATTAATTCAAAATGTCATTACGGAAGTTTAACTGTGAAAATGATAAATTTCTGTTATTTTATTTGTTTAATTTTTTATTAAAAACAAGTAATATTCAATCAATACATGTTTATAAGTTCATCAATGTTCTTTTATTGGAATGATAAATTTTTTGTCTTATTTTTAAGTACATAAGTTTTTGTATTGTTATGAAAAACAACTCATAATCTTAAGTTTTCAAATTTAGATATAGAAAAAAGTTATTCTAATAATAATAATAAATTTTAGATGTCAGGTGAAGAATGTGATAGCGAAATGGATTATTCCGACTCAGATTGTGGTGATGCTGGATATGAAGATTATTACAATTTTTGCAGTGAAGATAATGACATTGATTCAGATCAGAACAGGAAAGATCCAGAATATGCTGTGTATGATTGTTTAAGAGTTGACGAAGTTGAAAGACTTCTAAACGAAAACGTGGAAGTGCTAAGTGATAGTCTCCATATAACACCATCTTTAGCTAAGGTTTTACTTCATACACACAACTGGGCTCTACAAGATGTCCTTAATAAATATCGTAATAACGCTTCAAGTTTATTAATTAATTCTAAAATAAAGCCGTCTCATCCGCCTGATCCTGCATCAGCAATGAAGGCACAAAAAGGTGGACAATGTTCTGTTTGTGTAACTTTTCATACTGCTGAGAAATTTACTACTCTAACATGTGGACATGCATTTTGTAAAGATTGTTGGTGTATGCATTTTGAAGTACAAATTTTGCAAGGCATTTCGACAGGTAATTCATTTTTGTTATCTATAAATGATTTTAATCTATTATCTTATAGGTATAAACATATATTTTTTTCTTGTTGAAAGAATGGATTTGCTTTATCTAAAAATCAATTTATTATTTTTAATATGTAAATTAGAAATGTAAATTGAATAAAAAAATATTTCTTTTTAATTTCAGGTATCGAATGTATGGCACAAGGATGCGAAGTTCTCGTACCCGAAGATTTTGTATTATCGCTATTAACAAAGCCTAATCTGAGAGATCGGTATCAAAATTTTGCATTTCGTGATTACGTTAAAACTCATCCACAGCTTCAATTCTGTCCTGGACCCAATTGTCAAATAGTAATGCGCTCAAAAGAATTGCGTGCAAAACGAGTGTTATGTATTTCATGCAAAAGTATTTTTTGGTACATATTAAGAAAATGAAAAAAAAACTTTTCCTTTTGTGTAATTTATTACACAATATTAATTAAATTATATTTGATATCTAATTGATACAATTCTTTTTTTTTAGTTTTCGTTGCGGAATGGATTATCATGCTCCAACAGATTGTCATACAATAAAAATGTGGCTCACAAAAAGTGCCGATGACTCAGAAACAGCCAATTATATTAGCGCTCACACCAAAGATGTAATAATAAATATTAAATTCATGATGCATTCACTTAAAGAAGTATTTTTAATTGGTATTCATAAAAATTATAATGTATATTTTAGTGTCCAAAATGCCACATTTGTATAGAAAAAAATGGAGGTTGCAATCATATGCAATGTTATAAATGTAAACATGAGTTTTGCTGGATGTGTCTAGGAGATTGGAAAGCACATGGCATTGAATATTACGAATGTTCGCGTTACAAAGATAATCCAAATATTGCTCATGAAAGTGTTCATGCCCAGGCACGAGAAGCGCTTAAAAAATATCTTCACTATTTTGAAAGAGTAAGTTCATATTAACAAATTAATTTCAATTGAAAGAATTGATTATTTAATTAAATGCTCATTGTTATGTTGTTCTAATTGTGTATAAATAATAATAATAATGTGGGTTTAGTGGGAAAATCACAGTAAATCTCTGAAGCTAGAAGAACAAACATTAGAAAACATTAAATCGCGAATTAACAAGAAAGTTATGAATGCCAGTGGTACTTGGATTGATTGGCAACACTTATATGAGGCAGCATCACTATTAGCTCGTTGCCGTTATACATTACAATATACTTATCCATATGCTTATTATATGGAACCTGGTCCTCGTAAAGAATTGGTAAGAATTTTAGTAATTTATAAGTTTTAAATAAGTAAGATTTTTTAAACATATTAAATTAAATAAATGATATTGTTAATACTTTAACAGTTCGAGTACCAACAAGCTCAGCTAGAGGCTGAAATAGAAAATTTATCCTGGAAAATAGAAAGAGCTGAAACAACTGATCGGGGAGACTTAGAAAATCAGATGGACATTGCTGAAAAACGACGTGTTACTTTACTTAAAGATTTTTTAGAGGTGAATGTCAATGATAAATATTTTTAATTCGATATCAAAATAACATTAATTAAATTATTATAAGAAATAATTAACATTTTTCAGGATAACAGTAGTGATAAGTATAGCGGTGAACATCAACGAGTTTGATAACTAAACACACTTTATAGCGTTCATAAAGAATATGAGTGGTTTTAATAAATTTGCGTACTACCCAATGAGATTATCTTGGTTAAGAATTATCGTAGACTCAAAGATATAGAACACTACATTTCAAAATTTGAAAACTTTATTGATAAATTGAAAGCAGTGCAGAGATACTCATCGTAATTGAAGTTTTTTGTCTTTCCTGGGGAGTTATTGTTTTTCTTATGAAATTTGACAGAAGTTTATTGGATCTTGAGTGCCAATAATTAACTACATAATCAATTTTATTTAAAAATTGAAAACTTAATAATGTGTGTTGTCGTTTTAATTGTGAATTACTCTTAGCAAATATTGTTAAATAACAAGATAATTTTGTTAGACACATTAATTTTTAATAATATTTTCCTAAATAATTTTTTTGAAGATATGACATAAGCAATAGATCTTCAATATTTAAGTTTGATTGATAGGTAAATTTAAAAGGGACATTCAGTAGAAATTTTACTAGTTGTGATTGAGATAGGCTTAAGTAATTGTGATAATTTATCATAATAACATACATATGTAAATATGAATGTCAATTTTACTGTATAAAATTAGCTAACTTTTCAAATTACATTACTAGACAATTCCAGATAAACAATTATTTGAAAAGTTATTTCTCATTAAACAATTACAATTTGTGACAAATAATAATGAGGGCTATAATTAGAACTAACTTAATTATTGGTTGTTTTTTTTCTATCTACTATTTTATTTATAATTGTTATCAATTTATTAGTAACAATATAATCATCACTACAACTTTTTTATAAAATGTGCATTTAATAAAAATCAAACAGCTTAAAAAAAATAGAAAATTTTTTTAATCAAATACGTTCCCTATTTATATAATGTAAAAAATATAATTAATGCGCCGAATCGAATAAATTTACAAAAAGGAGATTGAAAATATTGACTTGCACACGCGCATGCATCCACCAACAGTACTTGTCGATGAGAGAGAAGATGATTACGAAACTTGCAAGATAAACAAGGATATGATTAAAGAGGAAGATGGAGCCACACAATTGTGTGTGCGTACAACGTGAACGAGTGAAATACTAAACTTAGTAAAGGTATTCGTTGGTGGGATTAGTTAGCAAACTTCAGTTTCACAGTGATCAGAAGTTGTGCAGTGAATTCACTCAAGAAAATTTATATGAAAAAAAAAATAACCGGCTGCTATACAATCATTGACAACGCATGACGGTTTTGTGCAATTGTCAAATCATTTATAAAAAATTGATTTTATTCCATTTATAATCAGAAGTTGGAAAATATTGCATTTTTACAATGGCGATGGGTAAAGGTTTTCGAATTTACGAAAAATTAAAACCACCAAGTCCTCATTCACTCATTTTGGAGCATCGGAATCGAAAGGAAACTGTTCTTTTTGAATCCCAAGCAGTGGCAGTACTTTGTAAGTATCATTATTGTTTTAATTTTTTTTATTATTGTTTTGCTCTTAAAAAATGATAAAATAATTGTGTTAAATCATATGATAATTACATACAAAGTTCAATTAGAGTATAAGTGTGTATTATTAAATTTGTTGTCATTTAATAATGGAGTAATTTTTGTTATATTATTGATATCACTTATCATTCAAAAATAAAGGGGCGTTTCTTTGTTTATTGATGAAAAGACTTTGATGAAAAATGACAATTATGATTAATGTTACTTGTATGATGTAATTTTATTTCTTGTAAGTTGATAATAGGTTTTATGCTAATTAATCTATTGAATTTAAATCCAATATATTGAAAATACATTTTTTTAACAGCTGTACAAGAAACGGAATCCTTGAAATCACAATATACCAAACTTTTGGATGCTTATGGATGTTTAGGAGTCCTTCAATTGAATGCTGGAGAGAATACTCTTCTTTACTTGGTTTTAGTAACGGGATGCTTTTCAGTGGGTAAAATTGGCGATTCAGAAATATTTAGAATTACTCAAACACATTTTGTTCCACTACATTATACGCAAGGCAATGAAGATAGAGTATCTGAAGTAAGAAAAGTCTTAAATTCTGGAACATTTTATTTTTCTTGGTCTGCTAGCCAGCACGAAGCTCTTGATATTACTTTAAGTGTTCAAAGACGGTATAAGTCAATTTGTACGGATAATAGATTCTTTTGGTGAGTTGTATTTTATTTAATTTAAATGACAATTTAATATTTCATTTCATGGTTAAAACGAGGTTGTTAAATAATTTTATTATTTATAGGAATCGAATGTTACATATCCATTTATTAAGATATGGTGTCGATACAAATCAGTGGCTTTTAAAAGCAATGTGTGGTAGCATAGAAATAAGAACAGTTTATGTTGGTCATCGACAAGCTAGAGCTGTTGTAACTTCAAGATTGAGTTGTGAACGAGCCGGTACAAGGTCAGTAGTCAATATTATTTATGTTTTATTAATTTTAAATTCACTGTATTTTATCTATGTTAATTGAAAAATATTATTTTATAACTCCAGATTTAATGTCAGAGGAACCAATGATGATGGTCACGTAGCCAATTTTGTAGAAACTGAACAGACGATCTATTTGGATAATGAAGTAACTTCTTACGTACAAACTCGAGGTTCGGTACCATTATTTTGGGAACAACCCGGAATACAGGTTGGTTCTCATAAAGTTAAAATATCTAGAGGATTTAAAACTGCAACACCAGCATTTGATCGTCATTTAAGCATGATTAAAGAACGTTACGGGCAACAAGTTATCGTAAATTTGTTGGGATCAAGTTTAATTGGAGGTAAAGAAGGTGAAGCTATGTTAAGTCAGATGTTTCAAAGCCATCATAATCTTTCAAAACATAAAGATGTACCACATATAATATTTGATTATCATCAAGAGTGTCGTGGAGGCAACACCAAAAATCTTTCTAAATTAAAAGCCAAGGTTGAAAAATATTTAGACTCCTTTTCACTTTTTTATGCAGTAGGTATGACAGTCATCACGGAACAAACAGGTACAATTCGAACGAATTGCCTTGATTGTTTAGATCGAACTAATTGCGTACAAACATTTTTCGCATTAGAAATACTTGCAAAACAATTGAGTTTACTTAAGTTATTTGAAAAGCAACAAATGGTATCAAGGTTTGAAGAAGTATTCCGACAAATGTGGATTAATAATGGAAATGAAGTAAGTAAAATTTATGCTGGCACTGGTGCGATTCAAGGAAGTTCTAAGTTAATGGATGGTGCCAGATCAGCTGCTCGGACAATTCAAAATAATTTATTAGATTCAAGTAAACAAGAAGCTATTGATATTTTGTTATTAGGCTCGACACTTAATACTGAGTTAGCTGATAGAGCACGACTGCTATTACCTTCCAACATGCTTCATGCACCCCCTAGTGTTTTACGAGAAGTATGTAAACGTTACAACGAATACGTGAAAACAATGAATTTACGTGTTGGAATTGGAACATATAATGTCAATGGTGGAAAACATTTCCGTAGTGTTGTCTACAAAGATGTGTCATTAGCAGATTGGTTATTAGATGCTCCACGTAATTCATCATCTTTAGTAACTCCAGAATATGATGGTGTACCTGTTGATATTTATGCTATTGGATTTGAAGAAATAGTTGATTTAAATGCAAGTAATATCATGGCTGCTAGTAGTGACAATGCGCGGTCGTGGGCTGAAGAGTTACAAAAAGTGTTATCAAGAGACACCGAATATGTTTTAGTGACGTACCAACAATTAGTTGGAGTGTGTTTGTATTTATTTATAAGGCCAGAACATGCACCTCATCTTCGTGATGTAGCTGTAGATTGCGTGAAAACTGGATTAGGAGGTGCAACGGGGAATAAAGGTGCAGCTGCAATTCGATGCGTTTTGTATTCAACATCTTTCTGTTTTGTTTGTGCACATTTTGCTGCTGGTCAATCTCAGGTTAATGAAAGAAATGCTGATTACGCTGAAATAACAAGAAAAATAGCTTTTCCAATGGGACGTACTCTTAATACTCATGACTATGTATTTTGGTGTGGGGATTTTAATTATCGCGTTGATATGGATAAGGAAGAAATGAAAGACATGATAAAAAATGGCGAATTAGATCAGATATTAGTGCACGACCAATTACGTGTTCAACAAGAACAAGGAAATGTATTTAAAAATTTCTTAGAAGGCCCGATTACATTTCCTCCAACTTACAAATATGACTTATTCTCTGATGATTATGATACTAGTGAAAAATGTCGTCAACCAGCATGGACAGATCGAGTTTTGTGGAAACGTCGTAAACAAATACCAGGGATTGATTCATCTATTGATTGGAATCCAGGTCAACTAGTGTATTATGGGCGTGCTGAATTGAAACAAAGTGATCATAGACCAGTAATAGCTATTATAGATATCGATGTCCATGTAGTCGATCCAGAAAAACGCAAAGCTGTGTTTGAAGAAGTAATAGAAGATTTAGGCCCACCTGATGGTACGATAATTGTCAAAGCTGTAGAAGAAAATGATGATATTGACAGTGTATTTGATGATAATTTCATGTTAGCTCTCTTGCAAGATTTATCTCATATTGGAGAAGTTATACTTGTTAGATTCGTTGGAGAAACAATATGGGTAACGTTTCGAGATGGCCAATGTGCTCTATCTGCAGCCCGTAAAGGTATGACTCAAGTTTGTGGCCAGACATTGAAAATTTCTTTGAAATCACCAGACTGGATACAACTTATTCAAAAAGAAATAGAAATATGCAGCAACACTACTATACCTCAATGCGATGAGAATTCAATTGCTCGAAACAATATTCAACGATTGGATAACTTAGAAATTTCTGAAAATTCTCATTCAGACAGGTCTAGTCCAAGTGGAGATCGACCTCCGAGGCCAGCACCACCAAATCGTCCAGCACAGCCACCAAGAAGTCCAGCTCGTGAGCGTAAACCAGTCCCTCGTGCTGGAGTTATTAGTGTCGTGCCCAATCAGTTTGCTCCACAACCATCATCACCACAACATAATGAGAGCATGGAAATGAAAGAATCTGAAAGACTTTCACCAGAGTCTGCAATCTATGAAGAAATTTTAGATGAACCATCAACGTATCATGTATCAAATCGACCTCCACCTCCTTTACCACGGCCCATAGATGTTAATCAAGAATCTAAACCACCCAATTCTGCTCCACCTCCACTTCCTCAAAGACAAGTTCCATTGCCTCCACCACAACATCCTCCACCGAGTCTACCTCCTCCTACTTTACCACCGCCAGTCCCAGCTAGAACAGGCGGTGGTCCACCAATACCAGCTAGAAATGTTCAGTAAAATGTGGCTTGTAGCTGTTAGATTTATAATATTTGTAGTCAGCTGCGATAAATATTATTTTAAAATATAATGACTTAGGTGCCTCATCTGTTCTTGTAATTCCATACATTGTATACCTCAACGAAAATAAGTCATGAATTACAACTGATCTTTAGTTGACTTATTTTATTGATAATAAAATATTATTTTCGTTTACATTCTCAAGAAATGTTATTTTTATACAAATTATTATTTTTTATGCTCACTGTACAGGTATAGCAGATAATTATTTTAAAGTAATACTCTATTCATTTAGCAACAGACATTTTGATCTACTTCATCCAATTTTTCCTTTTTTTTCCAAAGAAAAAGTATACGACGTTGAGTGCATGTAAAAATATAGTGTTTATAATTCATTTGAATATTATTTTTATTTATAGAATTAGCAAAATTATTTTAATTCGTTCATAGCATTAACAAATGATGAAAATAATTAATGAATAAATTACAATTATTAATCAATGCCACATAATTTCATGAAATGGTTATCAAGAATCAATTAAGTGAAATTATAATAGTTAAATAAAAAAAGTTTAATTAGATATTTATAGATTTTATTGGAGCCTAGACTTGTGTGCAGTCATAATAATAATTATTATAATACTAAGAAATAAAAAAAAAAAGAAATATTGGAATCTATAAAATGAAGATAGTGTATCAATAATATAATGGTAAATGTCTAATTTCAGTATTCATTATACTAGTAATCTTACCATTCATATAGCTAATGTATTTTTGTGAGACAAACGATTGTTGAACTACAATATTGTTGCACAGATTGATTAATAGTGTATGTATATGTAAATGTATAATGTATTGTTGAGAAAAGAAGTGAAAAAGATTGTTAAGTTGAAAGTGTGCTTAAAACACAAAAGAAAAGACTAAGAAATGGATTGATATTGATAATTAATTTATTTCTTTTTTTGCTGCATAAAAACGTTATCTGTAAATATATGAATCATTGAATAAATGCGTAATTATATTAAACAAGTAATTAGTTACATAAACCGTAAAATTTCGGAATAAAGAAGCTAAAAATACCGCAAATATTAAAAAACCAAACACCAAACATTTCGTTTATAATTATGGAAGCTAAATTAATATTAATGTATTGATTTATTTATTCAATAAATACAGGATCAATAAATTTGGCATATTATTTTTTATATCAAATTTTATTAAAAATATGTAGTTTAATTTAAACAAAAATGATTCTATAAAAGTGTCTTCCTCTTTTACATTAAATTTCATGTGAGAATATTGTCATTATTTTGTGTCTACGCAATTTAGAATTATAAATTATATTGTACATATGGAAGGTAAAAAAATCTATTACTATAATAAAAATTGGTAATACAAAGTATCAAAAATTTTTATACTTTTTTGTGATAAATTTCAGTCATGGAATAATATTGATTTAAAATTATGGAGATATTAAAAATGCGATATGACTTATACTTATTCTAAACCTTGAAAAATCTTTCATCAAAAGTATATACAAAAGTGCACTTTATCTGTTTAAAATATCATTCTTTCTTATAAAATCTCTATAAGAATAGTGATTGTGATTATGACATAAATAATCTCTTGCAATTCAAAACGTTATCATAAATGACTTTCTAAGTAATAGAGTTATTATTATGAAAACAACGCGAAGTGAATTTAGATTTTTCATTAATTCTTCAGTATAAAGTAGCCAAAATAAGTTAAATAACAGTAAAATTAATAATAATAGTATTAATAATAATAATAATTTGTTTGCACATGATAAATTTTAAAAAAATTCTTAGATGATTTTTTAAAATTATTTTTCTGACAGAAAAATTTTGTGCATATTGGCAATAACCTTATCAAATTGCCAAAATAAATTTTAATGACTTTGGATAAGGATTAATAATAATCTATGTATTACAAATATTCAATTAAATGTGACAATTTATCACCATTACTATCGATGTTCAACTAAGCAGTCCACAGTTGCTTAAATTGTTCTTAATTATAACATCAGTCACGGCATCAAATACAAATTGAATATTCGACGTGTCAGTGGCACATGTAAAATGTGTATAAATCTGTTTTTGATCTTTTCTTTTATTTAAATTTTCGAATTTCATCTGAATATATGAGGCACACTCCTCATACGTATTACCACCTTTATATTCCGGGAAACAAATTGATAACGGACTTTTGGCAATTTTTTCTTCAAATAGATCCTTCTTATTTAAGAAAAGAATTATTGACGTATCTACGAACCATTTACTGTTACAAATTGAATCAAATAGCTTCATAGACTCGATCATCCTATTCATTTCTTCATCTTCAGCCAAAACAAGATCATAACCACTTAAGGCGACACAGAATATTATCGCAGTAACACCTTCAAAACAGTGGATCCATTTTTTCCTTTCTGAACGTTGACCACCTACATCAAACATTCTGAAATTCCAAAAAATATGGTTTTAGTATTTGCTTTTTTATTATCAATAATATTTTTCAAAAAATTTTAAATAATAAAAAGTAAACTTACTTAAAATGTAATCCTTTAAATGAGAAATATGTTTCAACAATTCCAGTAGTTTTGACACGTGTCCTGAGAACGTCCTGTTGTGTGGGAATATAATTTGGTTGAGATATGCGGTCTAAAGCATTTAAATAATATGCTGCAGAATCGTTTAGTTGGTATTCACGACTCCGAGTGAAACAGTGTTGTACTCCTGCATCTTGCCATAATCTCTTCATTAATAGAACAAGTTCCCCAGTGAGTTCACCCTCTTCTGCCGCGGAAGCTAGAGTAAAAAATTGTCGCGCGATTTCCTGCAATATTATTATGATACAATTATGAATTCGTTAAATTTATTACTGATTTCTGTTAAATTTTTTTTATTAATTAATCTCATAGCGTAAGTTTATAAATCGTTTAAGATAAATGACTTATTAAAATTTATGTTAAATTACTCACCGCTTTTTTTGGATCTGCAAAATCAATGCCAAGTTGACCCATAGCTCGAATTATTGCTATTAAACTTTGAATTGTATTGCTATACACAACCGGTTTATACTGTTCACATTCTTCTCTACTGTAGCCAGTCTCATGAATTATTTTCATTTGTTTCACTATTGTAGATTTTCCAGATTCTCCCGCACCTAAATACGATGAGTTCAGTAATTAATTTTTTTTTCACAGTTATTTATATCATTAATGATATCATATTTACTTCTTGAGTTAATATTTGTTTAAATTAATTTCTTTACCAAATAATAGACAATTTTGTTTGCAGTTTTATTTCATGAATCATAGTATGTGAATGATTCAACTTTATAAGACTATCTCACAATGAATGATGTATTACATGTGATACATATTTTTAGAAACTATAAATGTTTTTTACAGCTACTTCTCAATGGTTGTTAAAATTTAGAAATATTTTAAATGATACTCTTGATTAGTACAAATAAAAGGTTTAATTGAAGAGACCCATGTTATTTGTTTCAATTTTTTAAAATTATATTATGCAAAGAAATGATTGAAAATATTTTTCAAAGATAACAATGGATAAAATATCGTATTGAACTTCAATCAATGCAATGTAAATAAATTGTAATGATAAATAAATAAGTTGATTTTCGTAAGAATATAAATTGTTAATGATCGTTTTTTTAATTAATCTAGAATATACGACCAATGAATAATGTGATTACGATATCGTAGAATTTTTTTTTCTTTTCAAATATAAATGCTCTCATTATAAAAAGATAATTATGAGAATTGTCAATTTTTTTATAAAAATATGTTCAAAACGGCAGATGTTCTTACCAAGCAAAAGAAGCTTGACCTCACTAGCAGCTCGTTCGCCATCAGCTCGTAAGTCCTTGTCGATCTTCTTTGAGCGCTCAACAGCAGCTTTTTCACCTGTGGTGCTGAAGGCGCACCCCATCCTGATGATTGATTTTTGTTTATGCTAAATCTTGATTAATTGTTTAACACAATTTTTTGAATTATTTTTCGCTGACACTTGTTGCTTAAATGTGGGAACCGCCCGCTTGTTCCTTCAAGCAGTGTTTCATGCACGCGTCACGACACCGTCGTGAGTCCCTTCAATTTACAGGACGTTAGCAAACACAATGAAGATTGTCAATTTTTTAAAATATTTGTGATATTTTCAACTGAATTATTCTTCACTGTTTTTCACTGATAAAAATATACACTGATTCAAAGTTGCGAATTTGACGCGCCCACGATTAATTGTTTGCTTTGCTTTTGCTTGCGCCGACGCGATCCCATGTATATCCACTTTGCCATAGATTCTCTGCAAAATTCGAGCGGTGTCTCACAAATGTTACAATTCTTATGGAACTTAACGGAATCGTTGTAGATTGGATAGTTCAATTTACAAGAATATGTTTTTATTGGTTAAAAAGTTATCAGTAGCGCCCTCTTTTTAAAAAAGGCGCGCATGCGTTGCATAAGATTATATCTGGCGGTAAATTCAATTAATTGATACGGTGAGAAATCTGTTTCTGTGTTTTTTTTAAAAAAGTTATTCATAAATAAATCGATAATGAATTTCTAATTAAAAAAATACACATACTTTAATTATTAAGTTACAAAAACATTTATAAATATTTTATCATTAAATGCATTTTTTTATCAGTCATTGCACATGCATATGCGTGGTAATTATGGCGCCAAAAACAACTAGTATTTTTGTTTGTACTCAAGTTTCTAACCTCTAGATTTCATTTAATGTTATATTAAAACTGAAAATTTGTAATTTTTTAAAATTAAAATATAAATAGTTAATGTTTTATTTATCTTTTATTATCAATGAATGCAAACGATTTCCCAGATTCAGATGAAGAATATGATCTAGTTCCAACTGAAGTTTATAAAAATTCTAAAAATGTAATCGGTAAGTTAAACAGGTGTAAAATTTTTAAATTACGACAGTTAATAATACGTTGTTTCAATGATTTTATATTATTTTTATATATATTTGATCCAAAATTAATTCTAAATATAGAATTTTGTTTTGTAACAATTCTGTTCAATTAGATACTCAATCCCAAAACAAAGTTTCTCAATCGAATACATTTACTCAATCTCAATTAACTCAAACTAAATCAATTGTTAATGGCAAAGGACGAACTTTGACTTCAAAAGCAGACGATTTCCCAAACTTCGATGAAGAATTGGATCTCATTGAAACTAATGTTATTAAAACTAATAGCTCATTAGAATTAAAGAATACTGTTGAAAATACTCGTAAACGAACTGCTGATGAGTTTTATAGAGATGTTTCAAATTTGTTTGAAGAATGTAGAAATAATCGATTTGGTAAGTATCAAAATTTAGTTATAAAACTAATTCATATATTATTAGATGATAAAATGTCAATATAATTCATCTTTTTTATTGTCTAAAAGATGATGATTTTGAGTATGAAGATCGACGAGATAAAAGACCTCGATGGGATCAACCTGAATTACTAATTGCAGCAATACGAAACAAGAGAATAGAAATACAAAATAAATTTGAAAATGATCATGATGATGTTCCTCGTATATTTCATTCATCTCGACCTGAGTAAGTATACAAAGTGTTTATTTGATTTAAATTCGTTTATTTAACATTTCGTTTTGTTGTTATTTTAGTAAAAAAGAAAATTCCATAACTTTGCGTATCCCATCTTGGAATTTTGTTCCTTTGACACGATATAGGGATTCTCAAAGATTGTATGTTAGGCTTCGGCCAGAACCTAAAGTAAATCCAATTAAAATAACGTCAGCTTCAGGTTTATTGTCAACAAGTTATGAAAAATTAAAAAAAGAAGCTGATCAAATAGTAAGTTGATCAATTAATTTTATAAAATTATTCCATTAATGTCATTTTAAGTGTTTTATATTTTCTTAAACAGTTATTAGAAAAAGCTAAATATGACGATCTTACGATTATTTCTAATGAAAAAACAAAGATTGAAGATAAGTTATGGGTTGATAAGTATCGACCTCAAAAATATCTGGAGCTTTTAACTGAGGAAACCGTCAATTTAGATTTTTTGCGATGGATGAAATCATGGGATAAAGTTGTATTCAATCGGGAGCCTAAAAGAAATAAACATGTATCTGTTAAGGCTTCAAATCAACCTAAAAAGATGGGTTTCGGCCCGAATAAATTCAAATCCAATCAAAATAATTGGAATGCCAAAAATACTAAAATTGATTTTGTAGATAATCAAGGTCTTCCTGTATTTAGAGTTGCATTACTTAGTGGTCCACCAGGTCTAGGTAAAACAACTTTGGCTCATTTAGTAGCAAGGCATGCAGGCTACAATGTTGTTGAAATAAATGCGAGTGATGATCGTAGTCCGGAAGCATTTCGGTAATAGTCATTAATATATTATTCATGTAACTTATATGTTTTTATTATTTTGATGATAAGAATAACTTTTAAATCATGATAGACAAGCACTTTTATCATCCACCCAAATGAAATCAATGATTGGTGCTGATCCAAGACCAAATTGTCTTGTGTTAGATGAGATTGACGGTGCTCCGGCAGCATCGATCGAATTATTATTAAAATTTATCCAAGGAAAATTAGTTACTAAAGGAAAAAAAGCTAAACCAGGGAAACATGAGGAATGTAAAAGGCCCATTGTATGCATTTGTAATGAATTATATTCAGCAGCTTTAAGGTAATTGATTGATTTTTAAGAAAACATAATAATTAAATTAAATTAATTAAACTATATGTATAATTTTATTGACAGGCCTTTGAGATCAATGGCATATGTGATTAATGTACCTAAAATTGATCCTTCAAGTTTGGCAGATCGATTATTAACTATTGCGCGAAAAGAAAGAATTAATATTAGTCATGGAGCACTTCTTCAATTAGCTGAACGATGCGGCTGTGATGTACGATCTTGTTTGAATTCTTTACAGTATATGCGTGAAGATTGTCAAAAATCCAATACAAGCCTTGGAACGAAAGATACAAAAAAAGGTTTATTTGAATTTTGGAGAGACATATTACAAATTCCAGTAAATAAAACTGGGCCCTTGACAATGCGTGAAAGAGCTCAAATGATCATAAAATCAGCTTCCAGTAGTAAGTTTAATCAAAAGTTTGTTGTTTTCCTTCAATTGTGTTTGAGATATTTCAAACAAAACTATTTTAATTAATTACGTTTTTACTAATAGATAATTCTGAAAGAATTGTACAAGGTATTTTCGAAAATTATCCAAATAATTGTCAGGATAAAATGAGCAAGATATCTAAATCGATAGCATGGTTTCCATTCTATGATGAAATTTCAACACATGTTATGACAAAAAACAATTGGCAAATTATGCCTTACACAAATTATGCATTTGTATCATGGCATTTTGGACTTGCCACTTCGAAAAATCCAAAATTAAATTTTCCGTATACAATGGCTGAGGTAAGTTTATTATTTTAAAGTTGTATTTTTTAAAAAAACTGTGCATGTAGATGCATCAATAGTTGAATAAAAAATGTATTGAATATTTTCAACTACTTAGGTCAATCAAAAGTTAGCAAAAAATCGAGCTTTGATAACAACTACACAACGTTCTTATGGTTCTGATATTCAAGTGATTACTTTGGATATAGCTCCTCTGTTGTTTGAGCTGTTAACGCCAAAACTTCGTCCAGTGGCTAGCAATTTATTTTCTACAAGAGAGAAAATGGATTTAGAACGATTATTGAATGTCATGTTAGACTTGGGACTTAGTTATGTGCAAGAAAAGAAAGAAGATGGGAGTATGAGTTATGAACTTGAGCCGTAAGTATTTAGGAATGGTTAAATTCTAGAATGTTTTCAATCCTCAATTTTAAATCTCACTCATAAATTCTATACAATAAATTAAAATCAAATACAATAAAAATAAGCTTTAAATACAAATGTTAGAACACAAACTCTTTTTTGTTTCATAGTAATTTATACGAAATCGGTATTTTTCCGGATTGTAAAAACCGTAAAAATCTCTCTTATACTATCAAACAAGTAATAGCTCAAGAATTGGAAATTGCTCGGCTTAAACGAGCAACAGCAGTGACTACTGCAAGTAGTACCACAAACACTACAGAAGAAAAAAAATCAATGAATAAAAATGATGCTCAGCCTTCACAAAATACTGATAAAAGTTTTCGTCCTAATCATATTGATGACATGGCACGTGTTATTTCTCCACAAACATTTAAAGAAAAAGTAAGTTACAAGTTGATAATCATTTATTTAATTTTTCAATATATTTATTAAAATATAATTTTTCTTTTTTAGAAATACAAAGATTTTTTTAAGAACTTTAAATTATCAAAACCAATTGATGAATCGTTACCAAATCCTTCATCCGAACATCAAGAACATAAAACTGTATCCAATAATGGTGTATGGTTTAAATATAAAGAAGGATATAGTAATGCGGTTCGTCGAGCTGTAAGAATAAAAGACATTTTATAATTCTATTTACTTTTATGATGTAAGATTATAAAAGGGTAAAGTTATATTTTTCAAATATTATAATCATTTAATCTTAGTGTCAAATATAATTTTTATTTTTACTGATAGTTTAGTATTTGATATTTCTATTTTTTGGATTTTTAAATTGATTTATAACAAAATTTTTAAAAACAAATTGATATTGTATGTAGCATTTTGAAATGTAAACCTAAAAAGTTTGATAAGTTAAGTTCAGAATATTTGTTAAATGTATTATCCTTCAGCTTCTTCTTCTAGTGCTTCGTCTTCAAATGTTTCTTCATCTTCAGCTGTTGCTTCCTGCAATTTATTGTAAGTTAGTTAATAATTTATTGATGAGTCTAGTCATTTCCCTATTTAACGAAAAACTTACTTGATATTGTTGATATTCTGAAACCAGGTCGTTCATATTACTTTCAGCCTCAGTAAACTCCATTTCATCCATTCCTTCTCCAGTATACCAATGAAGAAAAGCTTTACGCCGAAACATTGCAGTAAATTGTTCACTGATTCGTTTGAATATTTCTTGGATTGCAGTTGAGTTTCCAATAAATGTTGATGACATTTTTAAGCCTTTGGGAGCGATATCACATACAGCAACTTTAACATTATTTGGTATCCATTCAACAAAATAACTCGAGTTTTTATTTTGAATATTGAGCATTTGTTCATCAACTTCTTTCATTGACATTTGACCACGGAAAATTGCAGCGACTGTTAAGTAACGTCCATGTCTTGGATCACATGCAGTCATCATATTTTTGGCATCAAACATCTATTCAAATGATAATAATAAGTTTGATTATTTTATTTATTTTCAATAGATTTTTTTATTTTTATTCTTTAATGTAAATATTACTTGTTGAGTAAGTTCAGGAACCGTTAAAGCTCGATATTGTTGACATCCACGAGCAGTAAGTGGAGCAAATCCGGGCATGAAAAAATGAAGTCGAGGAAAAGGCACCATGTTGACAGCTAATTTACGAAGATCCGCATTTAATTGGCCAGGAAATCGTAAACATGTAGTTACACCTGACATAGTAACCTAACATAGAAAATTATTTCAATTTAAAAATCATATCAAATATTTACATAACTTCAATATTTAAAGTAGCAAAAAGTGAGTGAGGTAATATTGATTTAATTTAATCCATTCTAATTTAACATTTACCGACACAAGATGATTAAGATCTCCATAAGTAGGAGAAGTAAGTTTCAATGTTCTGAAACAGATATCATAAAGTGCTTCATTATCTATGCAAAATGTTTCATCAGTATTTTCAACCAATTGATGGACTGATAGAGTGGCATTGTAAGGTTCCACAACAGTGTCAGAAACCTAAAATCATCAAACATAAAGTCAATGTGTTTATTACATTATATTTGGTTTCTTAGAATTTTTTTTTGTACTTTTGGTGATGGCACAACACTGAATGAATTCATTATACGATCTGGATACTCTTCTCTTATTTTTGAAATAAGTAATGTTCCCATACCAGATCCAGTACCGCCGCCCAATGAATGTGTAAGTTGAAAACCTTGCAAACAATCACAGCCTTCAGCTTCTCTTCTTACAACTTCAAGAACTGAGTCTATAAGTTCTGCACCTTCAGTGTAATGCCCTTTGGCCCAATTATTTCCTGTAAAAGACATTTATTTTCTTGAAAATATCTTTGAATATTTATCAATAAATTAATTTATTGAATACTGAATAATAACATGAAAGTTAAAATAGAAAAAGATGCTTTTAGTGAATATTTCTTCAAATATTTTTGTATATAATTATTTAAATAATTGTTTTTATATATTACCAGCACCACTTTGTCCAAATACGAAATTATCGGGTCGAAAGAGCTGTCCGATCGGTCCACTTCGTATGGAATCCATAGTTCCTGGTTCCAAATCAATGAGAATTGCTCGAGGGACATATTTGTGATCTAAAAAATTTTATTATTCTATAAAATATTAATATATTAATGGATTGATATCAGAGAGAAATCATATATTTTGTATTAACTTCCAACTTCGTTGTAATAAACTTCGATGCGTTCCAGTTGTAAATCGCTTGTTCCAGTGTATTTTCCAGATGGGTCGATGCCATGTTCATCTGATATTATTTCCCAAAACTGGCAAGTATTTGTAAAAAAAGTATTTATAAATTTTGGAAGAAATTGAAAATTGAGGATAATTAAACAGAAATATTCATAGATAAAATGTACTTTCTTGTTCTGGGTTATATAGCTAATGTAAATTTACCACACATAACGCAGTGCAGTTATTTAAAGCACAATGTCAGATCATTTGTGACTTTTAGCTTCACATGCAAGACAAGACAACGTTGCAAATAGAAATGGGCCATCTTTGTTATCATTAGATTATTTTTTATCAAAATTTAATCTTGAAACATCAATTCCACAGATAATTTTGAAAATTACGTCATTTATGATTTCGTCAATAAAAATTTTTATTTAATTAATTAAATTTATTTATATTTTTAGGATAAATATCTACCAAAATTTATTCTTCTTTCGAACTTGTCTTGAAATTAAGTATACTTTAATATTTGAAAATCTTGATATTACAAATCTAACGTATATTTAGAGATAAAATTGCATGTATGTTAAATATATATTCATTTTTAGTTGTTTCATCAATTTAAGTAATAAATTAATAGATAATTAAGAGAAAAATATAAAAAAAATACAAACATGGAGTAGGATTCACATTCTTATACTCACCTTAGATCCAATTTGATTGCCGCATTGACCGGCTTGCAAGTGAACGATTTCTCTCATATTGTGGTAGTAAAATGTACAGAGATAATTTTAGAATTACAGATAATTTTCTAATAAATTAATAGACTAACTCAAGTCAATGCTTTATTAAAATTTAGTAAAACTCTACTTCGTATTACCACCAAGAACTCAACTGTTATTAGTACTATTACATCGACTTTTTGTACAAAGTTGACAACAAAATATTCCGAGTATTGTGTAGGTACACGTCTAGTTTTGAAGAGATTAACGTCGTATCAACGATATAGTATGAGAACCTAGATTTTATTTACGTAACTAGCAGCGCCAGTTATTAAGCAAAATTATTTTGTAATTGATATGATTAATTATAATAATAATGAGTAATAAATTATTAATAATTAATGGTGATTATCTATTTATGATACCTATAGATTCAGAATTTATTCATGGTTGTTTTAGGTTTTTTTTTAAACAATACAACTTTTGTCTTCCAAAATATTTATTTTTATCGTAAAAAATATATTGCAATCATTCTGGAAAACTATAAAAAGTATATTTAATACTTTGGAAATAATCTTCCTCATTCATAAGATATAAACTTTCACTCGTGACTCCATCCTGGTATTGAAATTGAAGGTAACCAACCACGTCCTGTTACTGACACGAAATACAATTAATTAAATTATTAATAATTTGAATAATAATAAGTAAAAAAGATAGAAAAATACAGATTAATTACGTAAAATTAATGTAGATGCTATAAACATTGTGATAATATATGCTAAATTAAATATTATTTTTACAAATTTAATTACCATATGTCAATAATAAAATATTAAAAATAAATAGTCTAAATTTAAACACATACTTCCTGCTACTTGATTCAATTGTTGTGTTTCCTCAGGGCTAAGTTTAAGAATTGTATTAAGTACTGGAATGAGTCGACTCCGTTCATCACCATTTTTCAAAATTATGAACTATAAATTTGTAAATACGATTAAAATAATATTGGCGCCAATTAGTGTTGAATAAAAGAAATGAAAAAGAAAACAATTTACTTTCAAAACCACGTTCTTTAAATATTCAAAATTATTAGCATGATGTTCTCTTTCAACACTGCGTTGTTGTCGTCGAATATCTTCTTTTAATAATTGATTCATCTGATTCAATTTTGCAACATCTCTTTCGGCATCAGCAAGTAATGTTGTTAAATGTTTAATACGTCGTTCGGCAACCTCTAGTTCATGTCGGTCAACTTTGGCCGGTAAAACTGGGGTATTAAATTTGGTCAGATCATCTGATGAATTTAATAATTCATCCAAAGGTATAAGTGTACTTTTTTGATTTTTTTCTACATTCACATTCGCACCGTTGTAGGAATCTACACTTTCTGAACCCTAAATATGAATAAATAATTTAAGCTCATTTTCAAATTTTTCTAATAATAATTATCTTTATATTTTTGATTTACTTGATAGAATTGTAAATTATAGGTAAATAAATTTTAGGATTGTTTTCACAAAGAAAATGAGTTGAGGTTGAACAAAAACAAGATTTATCGTGATAATTACCTCACCATCCTCTCTTTTAAGTAAATAAATATCATTTCGAATTTGATTATCATTTTCAAATTTATATTCTGACTGTTTTTCTGATAGATTTTTTATATTTCCTGAAACTGTTGTTGACGTTAACCGTTCAATTTCATCGTGTAGACTTGATATTTCTTGTTGATATTTATGTTCTATCGATGCCAGCTGAACCTGATAAGAGAATTTAAGTTTTTGTTGTTACAAACAAGTTTCGACTACCATTCAAAATATCTTTCATCAAATTAGTTTCAATACATACAGTAAAATTCTCTTTTAACATTTCTTCTGATGATTCCATTTGTTCTTTTAATTGATTAATAATTGTTACTTGTGTTCGACATTTATCTTTTAAACTTAAATAATCTTGATTGAGTGTAGCTAATTTTTTTCCAAGATCTTTTGCATTTTCTTGTGCGAAATCTCGCTGCTCTTTGATTAGCGTGACTTCACTGATTAATGTTTTTATCTCTTGACTATTGGAGTATAAAAATTAATAAGTATATTAAAAAAATTGATTATATATTAAAAAATAAATGGTGTAATATCAAAATCTACTACCAAGAAATATCGAGTTTCTCCTGCAGCTGTGTTGAGTGTGAACGTAAATGATTTAGTTCTCCTTCAATTTCAATTATATTTTTACCATTCAATCCAGAATCTTTACTTTGGCTTTGTTTTGTTCTTAGAACACTCTGTGCCCGGAGTTTATACCCTTCATATTCAGTTTTTAGAGTGGTTATTTCTTCATTTGTACTTGAAATTATACTATTTAGCCTCGATATTTCCATTTTCAATTGTTCAATCTATAATAAATAAATTACATGAATTATTGGAAATAATTAATAAATAATCGATTTTATACTTATAGTTAACCAATCAGATTAATGCAATTAATCTGTTTAATGAATTTGATTGGTAAACTATTAGTATATTAATGAGCGTATGTATTAATGAAAAATACTTGTTGGAGATGCATTTTATTCTGTAACTCCATATCATCAACGAGTTTATTTTTCTCAGCAACAGAGGTAGTAGATTCATTAGATAATTTATCCATATTTTTTTTCATAGCTTCGATAGCATCTAACAAACTTTGTTTTTCATGAGATGTTTGGGTAATTTCTTGTCGTAAATCATTTAATTCAACTTTTAATGATTCATTTTTTTCACCAAGTATTGTCAACTGATTCGTTTTCAAGAAAAGAGAATCTTTTAGTTCTGATAGCTGAAATTCTAAACTTGAAATTCTCTGAACATGTTCTTCAATAGTATTTTCTAGTGTTTTACATTTTGTAGATTCATCATTTAATTTCGATTTCAAATCTTGTATACTTTTCTATACCATAAGATTGGATATTATTGAAAGAAAAAAAAATTAATTATTATTGAAACATATATAGAAATACATATATTTTGAATCATCATTACTTACTTCATAATTATCTACTTCTAAAAGGATAACGTTATTACTTGAACACTCCTGTTTGGCTGCATCTAATTTTGCTTGTGTAGCTTTATGAGATTGAATTTCTGACTCCAACTTAACTTTCATTGTTTCATAGTCTTTTTCCTTTTGATCACAAATAACTTTAGTAGCTTTTTGTTCGTCTTCTAATTTTTTCATAAGACTATTTTTCTTTTTCAAAATATTTTTTAATTCAGAAAGCTCTTTATTACGGTTTTCTAAATCCAAGTTCAAACTAGCTATAGTATCTTTTAACTCATAATTCGTTTGTTTGAGAGATGTATTGTTTACTATGAGCATTTCTAAATTCTTTGTTAATTTTTTATTTTCATTTTTCTGTTTATCAAGATCATCTTGAAGTTTATCATATTCTAATTGTATTGCCTGTTAATAAAAATAAATGAAACTATAAATATGGGTATTAAATTCCTTATAAATAAATAAAAATAGTGATTTCATGATAGTAACCTGCAATTGTTTAAGATTATCAGATGCTTGTGATATTTTTTTCTGAAAATTTTCTTTTTCTGCAATCAATTTAATCTTCTCTGCTTCAGAAGTTTTTAATTCTTCAGTTAAATCGTATACTTTTTTCTTCAATGTCAGGGCATATCTTTTGAGCTATAAAATTATTAATAAGTATGTATCAGATAAAAATTTTTATCTTCTTTTTAAACATAATGAAAACAAATGTTTATTATACTAATTTTTAACGTTTTTTATATTATTTTTCATTTCTAAATTGAATTAACGCTTTAATTCCAAAGCATCTAATGATTTATATTTATAATAATTATTAAACATGAAAGACTTACTTTATTACAACGCTCTTCGAGTTCTTCTTTAGAATCAAGTTTTGATGAAGAATCTTGTCCAATAGACGCTGGTTCTTTTTCCTAAAATTTATTATTCAAACATTAAATGCAATAATAACACAGTAAAACAATAATAAAATTAGTATTTTTTGATTATTCACAATAATTGATGATTTTAATGTAAACACTTACTGAATCAACTTGACCATTATTTGTTGATGAATCCATAGTTATAGCTATTATTTCATAAAATAGACATTTTGTAATAAAATTATTACATTAAATAACAACAAGTTTTTACTTTGTTTTTGTCAGCTGATTAGTCGACATGACAGCTGATTTTGGGCAGATCAGATAATATTGCTTGCAATGTTATCAGCCGATGGTTTTCTAACATTGACATTATTCAATGTAGGTGCACTTGATATTTTAAAAATAAATAAATAAATTTATAACAACATTGTTTTTTGAATAGTAATCACTCTAAAAGTAATTCCCCTGTTTATCTCGTACATCTTTTTTTTTAAGTGACTCATTTTTCTAAACAGGTGGCTAAATTGTACCTGCTCAAAAAGAGAACCTGAAAACTGTTTGGAAAGGAATTTATGTCAGGCTTTTTCTATTTATTTCGGCAAAGATCATCAAAATGCGTGTTTTATCTACACAGATAATGATATGTAATGCGTTTATAGTCAAACTTTACCCTTGATGTCACTTTCGCCTTATTGATGTGTGTTTTTTATCGACTAGTTTTTGACTGAAAACAGTGTGTGTACAAGAGTACAATAAAAACAATTTTTCTGATCACTGTAACATTGATTTATAGTTTGTTTATAGTTCATTGTTAATAAAACGACAATAATGTTTCTTAAACCATTAAAAATAAAATCAAATAATCAACTTAAAGGAACTGAAAGGTAGATATGACAATATCACATGTTTAAGGTTATGTTTTCAAATATTAATAAATATTGGATTGCTTTTAAAAAGAATAAATGAATTAATTTTAGGAAAAAATTGTACGAAGATATACTTGCAGCATATCCCGTATTAACTGATAATCAAGTGCAACAATTAATACCAAAAAAAGAAGCGCTATCCTTAATAAAAATTGTGGCGTATAGTGGTGAAACATGCAAATTGTATTGTGTTTCTAAAGTTCCAATGTTCTTCCAATTTGATCAGACTGCACCATTATTATATCCTACTATTTATACTCTTTGGCAATATCCAGATTTGTTATATTCATTCAAAACTCATGAAGCAGTAATTGCTAAATTAGTTAATGGGGCTAGTTTAATGCTTCCAGGGATCATATTAGATGGTCCACCAACACTACATTCTTACGGGAAATTAGCTAAAAATACTCCTGTTGCTGTGATTACTGAAAAAAATAAGGTATACAATTTTTATTCATATTTATTAAACTATCGTTCATATTAACTATTATAATTGGGGTTATTGATTTCTTTTATTTTCAATTAGATTTATTAAATAAATAAATAAATAAAAGTCTTCAAATATCCATAAAATATTTATTTAATCATTTTGATATCTCTAATGCCACAAATTTGGTTTAAATTTCATTTTATTATTATTAACTTTGTTTAACCAGGCTGCAATAGCAGTAGGGGTAACAGCACATTCCTCTGAAGATATGTACATGGCTGGCGGTCGTGGCAAATGTGTTGACATATTACACATTATTGGTGATTCGATTTGTCAGTTAGGAAAACCATTAAAAAGGCCACAGTTAAATCCAGAATCTCCTGTAACAGAGATTATTGCTACTAAAGATGATGATTTATTAATAGATGAACCTGAAAATTCTCCTAATAATGAGGAGTTAACTGATAGTGCCACTCAAATGTTAAATGATTTGACGATGGAGACTGATAACGATAATGATGAACCTAATGCAACACCACAAGTATGCAAATACAGAGAAAAATTAGCGTAAAAATTAAAATTAATCGATAGTGAGAATTAAATGGAATTTTTATGGTTTTTATAGGAAAATAATATTGATTTATATACTGATGTAACTTTAAATGAACCACTAGATGATCCAGTGAAGGAGATGGATAGATTATTAGAATATTGTTTACTTAAAGCCTGTAAAGGGATAAAGAAAAGTGAACTACCACTTCTTAGCTCAAATTTTTTTAAAAATCATTTATTAGTTGCATGTCCTTCTAATCAAACTATTGATATTAAAAAATCTAGTTTTAAAAAATTATCAGTATTCTTGGCAAGTATGAAAGCAAAAGGTGTTATTGATACTACTATTCTTAAAGGAGTTGAAAGTATAATTTATATTCAGGTATGTTGGATTTTATCAACAATATTTCCATTAACTAGATTTATTAACAATTGATTAAATACGTTCAGTAAAATATAAATCTATCAATATGCAAGTAAAATATCGTTTTGTATACAATTATTTTTAATTATCAAAATTTTTTAGTCTGACCATCCATTGTTAAAAGACTTAGTTATCAATGAAGTATCAGAATCATCGGATCTAGATAATCCATCTGCCGCACCTGTTGTTTCTGAATGTTATAAAGTTACTGCTGATGTGTTGCCAATACTTTCCAAGTTTGGATATGAGTGAGTTATGACGATAATTTTACTGTAGTCTTTCAACCTAATATTCTTTCAAAACAGTTGTGTTCAAAGTTAAAATTATCTGATAAAATAATTACAGAAAAGGAGATATTATGAAAAAAACAGATATACGTAAATGTTTAATGGAGTATATTAAAACGGAAAATTTGCAGGATGGAAAGTAAATAATTATTACATTAAATATATATTTATTAATTAATAAATTTAAAAAAGCTGAAGAATTAAAAATGAAATATATTTTTCAGAACATTGAAAATAAATCCTCAGCTTGCTGGAATATTACGCACAAAAGAAAGTGTGATAACTTTAACGATAGAAGATGGAATAAATAAATTTATTGGACGAATGACTCATACACATCAGATTACAGTGGCTGGTACAACATTGTTACATACAGGAAGATTGGAACCTATTGATATAACTGTTAGTACTCGTGCAAATAAGAAAAAAGTAAGTTAAAATTGGATAAAGAAAATACATTGTATTAGATTTTTAAAAAGATTTCAGCTGCATTTATTCAATTATATTTGTTTAGGTTACATTGGTAAATAATCTAGAAGTATTTGGCATAAAACTCAATGAATTTAGTAAAGAGTGTCAAGGGATTGGTGCTAGTGCAACAATTACTGATGTACCTGGTAAAAAGTCACCAAGTGTATTAGTTCAAGGAAATCAAGTTCTTTATGTCTATAAATTATTAACTGGTATGAAACACAAATTTTAGTTATAAAATATTTAGTACTATTTTACATATTATTAATATATGTTATTAATACTATTTTACAGAAAAATATCGGATTAACAAAAATTATATACGTGGCCTAGAGTATGCGCCAAAGAAACGAAAATAATTTATTAATTAAAGTAATTGAAATAAACTTATTATTTATAAAGTTGTGTGATGAATATCGTATACTAATAATTATATGATAAATCCAAAGTAACTAAAGTTGATTTCGTTGCAAAAATACAGAAGCTTTTCAAAGGTAAGTTAGTGTATGGGTTCAGTCTGAGATAGCAGAGCGGAAGTATGTTTCATGCTTCAACTAGTTGGGTCTTGACATATGAAGTGTTTCATTAGAAGGTATAACTTTTGTGTTGATTTTCAAGTTAAACAAACTACAAAAGTACAACTACAACTTCAAAATCCGACTTAGTCTAGTCTCAACAAGTGTATTTTCTATAGAAATGTTTATACGTTGCAATTCAATTATTTGTAAGATGAGAAATTTCCTTGAATGCTTTGGATAACAATAGTCTAAAAAAATATTTTAGATTTTTGTAAGAAGTAAGTAGAGTAGATGGTTACGTCTTGTCATGCAGTACTCGTTATGCTTGAACTTGTAAGCTCTTTGGAGGGGTTACTGAAAAACTCCGAGAAACGGTGAGCGCATGCGAGCAGAGCATTAGATCGCCAGTAAAACGGCAGTCTTTGGTTGGCGCTCTTTGTGAAAGGTCGAAAGTAAGACCCGACAATCGGGGATGATATTAGGGGTGATTTTACAGTGATAGTGATTACTGTTTTTAAGTTATCGCTTCACTGTAAATTTAGGCCAAAAGGGTTAGTCAAGTGTTTCATACTTTGCTATAATGTCACGAAAATATATAAAACTGGACATTAATTTAAAAAAAATTAAACGAAATGTTCGTGTGGCTCACGGTCATCGATTCCACGTGGATCTGTTCCTTGTGTTCAGCAACCTTTTTTTTATATTTACTCCCAGTAAGTTATTGTTAATTAAACATTAATCTTAATATCATTTATTTTAAAAGTTAAAATGCATGTTATATCATCTTGGAATTTTTTTTAATAATATTCACTTGAACAATTTACTGTCAATCAGTGGTTTCATGTTATTGAAAAAAGTTGACAGATGTCTATTTATTAATCAACTTATCATTAGATAACTTTGATTGAGAGATAGAAAATGAGTGTTTTTGAATAATTAAATTTTATCGATTTAAGAAAAATAGACGTTGACATTCAACAGAGTAAAAATAACGAAAATTTATTCCACATCTCAATTGATCTCATTGAATATATATGAGTTACGTAAAATTCAAAGATGTAAGAATATTTTTTTTTCAGAAGTAGTCATTGCTATTGAATATATTTGATAGTTAACCGAAGACTCAACATTGAAAAGTAAAGTTAACTTTCAAATTTAACTTGTAGAATATCTCAATACAACTTTTTATGATAATCTTGAGTAATTTTAATGAAATTATTTAAAATTCGCTAGGCAATTAGAGTGAATAAATAGTTAAATTTTTTTTACTTTGAATTCTATACATAATATACTTTTGGTATTCTCTTCGAGCGGCCTTGTAAGGCATGCTAGGTATGTTGTGAATTCCCCAGTGCAAAAGCAAATACTACATTTTGCATTCGACCGAGTTAGTGTAGGTACAATGAAGGTGAGAAATAGGATTATGCTCTTCCTGAATACATGGAATAGAAGCCTAACAAGCCATGGGCTTTATGTAACTCAGAATACCGGATGTTCCATCCCAACTGGAACAATGTAGTCTTGATATCCGATATCATATTCTAAAATTATGATTTTCTATTATTATGGCTCTGCACTTTTTCATCTAATCTCAGTGACTGTGTATCATTTTTTTTATAAAACATTAAAAGTAGACTATTATCATTTCCATGTCTTATTTTTTGATTTATTGTTTTTATTTTAAACAATTAAATAATACTTTTAAATACCGAAACTCTAATAAAGATACTATTAGGGAACGATATTTTCAGTTATAGTAACAATTCAATTACTTTCTCTATTGAAACAATGACCAGTCGAAAAATTTCTGTGTTAAGGATCATATAAAAATCTTATATAAAAGCCTATAAAAAATCTATAAATAAAGGTTTTTATGGTATTTTTTATAGGATATAGTATATTCAGTCTGAGGTTAGTTAGGAAGGATCCTTGTGTCAAATAAAATGCAACTTTATGGCAAAAAATCGACTCGTTACCACCAAACAAGATTCAAAAAGTTTGATACCATTCATTTCTGATGAAATTTAAATTTATCTCATCGGAGTAAATACAAAGAGACAAGTAGTTCGTTATTATATACTAAAGTTTGAAAATCTTTCTAAAGATATAACTTAAATAGAAAAGTATAAACTTCGTATTATTAACAACTTCAAAAATTTTGTGACCCAGTTTTAAAAAAAATTCATAAATTTATAAAGCGGATAATATTTTTAAAAATAAAATTTACCAATATTGTTATACATCAGAACATGTTTCAGCGAAAAAAGTGAATATAATGGACTTGTCAATGTTTTTTGTACTCAAATGCACTAATACGGTAATCTCTTCAGGCAGGTGGTTTCTCATATAAGGTTTTTTCTTGTGAGACTATAAAAATTGATGCATACGTTATTTTTATTTGCGTATTAATTATCATTTGCACGTTAAAAACACTTTTTGTATTGTATTTTTCTTAGTTAAAGGTTTTATGAACTTGGAATAGTACTACAAAAGTAAAAAAAATGTCCTTTAACAAAATAAAGTAATGGTTTCGAATCATAAAATAACTTCCTTACAATAGATTAGTTAACAGAATTTTTCATTAAACTTGAATTTTACTGAATCATTAGCAATTTGCATACTGATTTTTGAATAAAATAGAATCCATACTGTTGCCACTAAAATAAATGATCATTCTTTTTATTCCTGCCATTTCTTTTTATGCCCATTTAATGATTGGAGATTTGAACTATTATTTAAACTGTTTTTATTTTATAGAGTTTTAATTTAAATACCACAATTTTAGATGAATTTTTGAGAACATTTTTTCTCCCAGTTTTAATTTTTCTACATTTTATAAATATTTTGGAGTTTATAACACGATTTGAATATTGCTTGGAAATAACAATTGTGTTTTTGGTAATGTAGATGAATTACTTTTATTTATTTTAATTATCACTAACTAACGACTGCAAAAGTTACTACAGTGCTATACTAATTAAATCAATTTCATTTATTAATTCAATCAATTACAATTCTACAGATTTTATAACAAAAATTAATTCTGTTAAATTTACAGTGAAATTTGACTAATTCTCAGTGGTATGATTTAAGAAGTTGATATTAGTGAACAATCACTAATATTAACTTAATATTTATTCATAATTTCCAAGAGAATAATTCTCTTCCTGTTAAACATTTCTATAATGGTATATTATTAGTAATAATAAAACTAGAAATTTTTGAACGTTTTTTGATGTGTTAACAAACCGGAGTTGTTGGTTTACACATTTAATTCTGGGTCGATAGATCTGATAGTTTAGAAGTCAGTGACATGCCCTCTGCTGATTATCTTCAGGCGAACACAAAAGGGTTCAAACGAAACCTTAAAATCACGGATCACTTTTCTAAGAAGTTACTTGAAGATAATTTGATTAATTTGGAATGTAAAATTCATTACTTTACAACAGTTTTGAAAGATACTTGTCATAGTTTTGAACTTCTAAAAAATTAATTAAACTTTGATAACGAAAAAAAACAGAATCACACATTACAACTCTTAATTGACATAATTACTAATTTTTTTAGTGTATATTTTTTTAAATACCTTACTTTACTTTAAGTACCTTATTTAAAGACCTTATTTAAGACCTCATCTTTTCGAAATTGAATATATATTTCAGTTTGATTTTTGATTTTGGTATCGTTTTAGATTTAATTACATTATCTAATTAAATGTATACACATATAAAGAAATCAAAAATAATTGTTTTTTCTTACATTCTAGCATCTAATTATTATTTTAAAGTAAAACATACATCTATAAACTTTATTTTTTTCATTTAGCTTAATTAATTTTTTAATTCACACATTTTTTTCGTTTTTTTTATTTAAAAATTATTTTTATATTAATAACATTGTAAATCCATTCGAGTTAAAATACACACTTTACAATATTTTAAATTCTATAAATTGTTCATGGACATGTAATATTTAATATTTTTTAAAGTATTTTAAGATATTCAAGAAATCTTGAATTTGTAGTGCATAAAAAGACATTATTTCATATTTTAACTAAATTTTTTAAATCCATTTTATTTTTAATTAAATGAAATATCATTTTCAATAGCTTGGAAGATAAATATATTTTTTTGAAACAAATCGTTCTGAAAATTTTTTTTTTTTTGAATAAACTAACTAACTAATATTCTTCGCTTTCTTTCTTCATAAAATCATTTACAAAGAGAACGATTATTAATTTTTTGTTCTCTACAACTGATTCAGACATATGAAATAGAGAGAAAAATCTACCGTTCAGCTAATTGGACATTTTAAAAGATTATTTTATTCATTGAAATTATTTTAATTACACCAAAAATATAAGCATTGAAATACTTTGATGATAATTAAAACTTCGCTGTTTCTATACAGTAAAAAAAAAATCTATCAAGTATATTATTTACTTCATTAAAATTATTAAATAAAAGATAAAAAATCATGTTGAGTGACAATTTAAATACTGAACATGAATATTTTTATAAAATATTGTTATTATACATTTTATAATTATAATAAACATTTACTTGATCTGTTTTATTTTTTTAATGTATGCTGGAATTAAGTTTGTGCGCGTCATTTGCACTTTCCTGTTTTGTACAATTAATTTAACTTTGCAACAAGTATTGCAGTTCTGACGTTGAATTAAAAAGCTTATTAACAAATTAACTTCTGGAATAAAAATTGATTTAGAACAGTTTTATTACATTGTTAATATTTTTTAATCCAGTAATATCATAACAATTGGAAGTAATAGGTACATACATCATGTACCTACTGCATTACATCGATCTTGAGCTTTTCGCTCACACTAAAAACTAGATCAAACTCCTTTTTGATTTACATTAAGTTTAGTAATACTCTTGGTCTTGAGCTTTGAGTAATTAATCCATTTTCTGACTTCCTTTCACACTGGACTGAAACATCTTCATTCATGCTAGTTCTCAAGTCGTTTTCTTGATATTAATTAATATTTACAAATACCAACTCCAACTTTTCCATAACGGATATAGGACCTTCTTTCATCTTCGTGTGTTCTGTTCTGTATTTCAATCTCTAAACCATTCTGATTATTATCAAGCAGATGAAGATCTTTTATCACGCTAGACGATTCATCCTACAATTGCCAGTTTTTGTATTACAGTTGCGTTTTGTCTTTAAGTGAAATTGGTATGCATTGAACTCGTCGTTAAGATGATATTCCGTAGCTTGTAGCCAACTCTTTTATCCGTTCGATGAATGAAAGTACATCTTTACTCATCTAAAGGGTAACTTTTTGTTTGCAGACTTGCTCTTTTATCTGTAGATTTCGGTCTTCTTTGTTGTTGTCCCCGATTCTGTGATATATAATGAACGTGGTGTTAACTGTTCAGAAAATACCACATATTGCAAAGTGCATACTTGATTGCCTAAACAGTCTTCAAAGATCTCTATCAATCTATTCACTCGAAATAAGTTAGATAATATTCTCTATTTCACAATGATTTTTAACAATTATTTTTTGAAACATAGGAATGTCATTGATTTAAATGATTTCTACTGCATTTTGTTGTCTGTTTTGTTAAGCTTTTTTTTGTCCTACTGCACTGCAGCTGCAGAAGATCGACACTAAAATCTCAATTGGGAATACTTGGATTCTGTTCATTGCTAATCAGATCATGTAGCATTTGTCTCATGC